ACAAAACTATTTTTTAGATCAGTAAACCTTTATTCGATTTTTCCATTATCAGCACGTTTGGTTAGGTTATGACAGTTTAATTTAATAATAGAAAATTATAAAATTGTTTCTTCAGACGCAGCAGTTAGTGACGTCAAACGGCACCTTAGAAATCTTCCGTGTGCCCCACCGGTTTGTTTGTAGAAAGAATCTCTTGGGAGCATAACCTGTACCTCTTAACCTCTGCTCTTCTAACTGTCAAATTTAAGTATTTACAGCTGACTTAAATTAATTGATATATTTACATTCTTTCAAAATGTAAACATGGAAAATTTGGAAGCACGAGGGGCGTAGCCCAAGTGAAATATGAAAATTAAATGATATAATATTGCATTGTTATCCATTTGTGAGCCATGTTTCAAATTTCAAATCTCTAGCTCATCGGGAACTTTGTTTAAGATTGATATCAAAATTTGTAGGAAAGCGAGCTAATAAAAACAAGCCCATGGGGCGTAGCCCAAGGGAAATATGAAAATTAAATGATATAATATTGCATTGTCTTCCATTTGTGAGCTATGTTACAAGTTTCAAGTCTCTAGCTCATCGGGAAGTTAGTATAAAATTGATTGCAAAATTTGTACCGGACAAGAAAGCGAACTAATAAAAACGTTTTAAAAATGGCAAAAAATCTAAAAGGGTTTGCCTCAAGGTTCGATTTTGGGTTCACTTCTATTTTTTATTTATATAAATGATCTTCCAAAAAATTGTTTCAAATAACCTAATTCTATATGCAGATGATACTACTACAGTAGTTAGAACAAAAAACAATGTTAAATTAAAACATAAAATTGAAGAAAGCCTTACCGAATTGGGGAAGTGGTTTGAGATCAATGGGTTGAAAATGAATTAAGAGAAAACCAAATTTTTAAGATTTTGTACACCTCAATCAGTTGCAATCATCGATCAAGCTCAAGCAACTGATGATAATGTAACATTTTTAGGGCTGTATAGAAAAATTAAATTCAGCTTGTTTTTAAATATTGTGCTTAAGGAATTCCATAGATTTAAAAAACTTCTGTCATGCTGTATTATGCATATTTTTACTCAATAGCGCAATATGGAATTGGATTTTGAGGATTTGCCTTTGAAATTGAAAGAATTTTCAAAATAAAAATAAATTATATTATGATCTTTTTACCATGGAAATCTTCATGCAAAACAGTTTTTAGAATATTGTTGAATATTATGACTTTTCCAAATTTAATAATTTACAAAACATTGTTAGCGGTGCAGTCAAATTTTGATGGCTATAATAGTGAAAACGTTGACCACATTTATAACACCTGATTTAAGAATAATCTTCAATACTGTACCCAAAACACCGTTTGAAGCTTGCAGAAGAAAACTCATAAATAAATGGGAAAATATCTGTCTAATAAACCACCCACAACACTAAAAACATTAATTCATAATACATCTTTTAAAAGCAGCCTTGCTGATTTTCTGACTAATAAAACGAAATATTACAGTGTAATTGAATACCTTAACGAAACTAATGAATCAATATGACTTTTATTTTGTACAAAGTTCTTATTTGACTTACTCTTACTATTCATAGAAACTCATTTTTTACTTTTATTGTTAAACAAAATTTTTCAACTTGTTTAAAAGTATTTTAGTGCATCTATATAAATAAAAGTACCTGGGGACCGAGCTTTGCTCGGAGAAAATCATTAGTTCACTCTGAAAGCACCTTAGTATTGGAGATAAATAAATCCATTTCCCTCCATTCCCATTGCATTTAAAGATTGCAGATACCTTAATCTAATCGTCATAAACAGTTCCAACACTCCGGACTACTCGCCTTGACTACTTCCTTCGCCACTTCCTACGTCGCGGACCTGTTTCCCTCCCTTACCATAGCATTTTAGGATTGCAAATACCTTAGTCTAATCGTCATAAACAGTTCCCACACTCCGGACAGCTCACCTTGACTACTTCCTTCATCACTTCTTACGTCGCGGACCTGTTTTCCTCCCTTCCCATAGTATTTTAGGTTTGCTGATACTTTAATCTAATCGTCATAAATAGTTCCAACACTCCGGACAACTCGCCTAGACTACTTCCTTCACCACTTCCTACGTCGCGGACCTGTTTTCCTCCCTTTCCATAGCATTTTAGGACTGCAAACACCTTAATCTAATCATCATAAACAGTTCCCACGCTCCAGACAGCTCGCCTTGACTACTTCCTTCACCACTTCCTACGTCACGGACCTGTTTCCCACCCTTCCCATAGCATTTTAGGATTGCCCTTACCCTTATCTAATCGCCATAAACAGTTTCCTCACTCTGGACAGCTCGCCTTGACTACTTCCTCCACCACTTCCTACGTCGCGGACATGTTTCCCTCCCTTCCCATAGCATTTTAGGATTACCCATACCCTTATATAATCGTCATAAACAGTTCCTTCACCACTTCCTATGTCGCGGACCTGTTTTCCTTCCTTCCCATATCATTTTAAGATTGCAGATACCTTAATCTAATCGTCATAAACAGTTCCTACACTCCAGACTACTCGCCTTGACTACTTCCACCACCACTTCCTACGTCGCGGACCTGTTTTCCTTCCTTCCCATAGCATTTTAGGATTGCAGATACCTTAATCTAATCGTCATAAACAGATCCCAGACTTCGCACTGCTGCCCTTTACTACAATGTATCGAGTAATCTTCAGTATAATCTTCGCTAAATATTAACAAGTGATGTTTTTCCTCTTGTACTGTATTTGTAATTTGCTAGTATATTGTGGGTAGTTGGCTTTTATGAACACATGCTGCAACTTCAAGTCTTTTGTTTACTTTATCCTTGTTATTTCATTCATCCAACATGGTTACCTAGCAACCCATAAGACTAATGTTAAAAAAATGTAATTTTCAGTTTCATTTTTCTACGTAATTAGATTTTTGTTGGCAGTTCTAACTGCAGTAAACTCGTTTTTAGGCCAGAAATAAACTATTTACAACATTTGAAGAAAATCGTCGGAGCCGTTTTCGAGATATTTCTGCAAGCAAGCAAGCAAGCAAGCAAGCAAGCATACAAGCAAACATTGCTCGTATTAGAGTATAGGATTAGAGTTTTGTCTGTACATTGCTCAGAATCATAAACTTTTAGGTTATTTTTACGTTTTATACATTAGAGAAACCGAAAGTCTCATCTAAATTTCTGTCCGTCTTCATGTCTGTTACGACCCAAGAGCCATTTTACGCGGCCTACTCCTGAAAAACGAGAGTACATATCAAGTTCCAAATCATTTTAATGTATTCACTGGATTGGCGAAATTGTCTTTAGCCATTAAAATATGGCGTCACCACTTTGTAAATAAAATAACGGACGTTTAAAAACCCAATTTTGTACGATTTTTTGTAAAGTTTTCTCCCAATGTTTAGCACATATTCTTCTATGAAATAACGAACAGCTGTTCAAATCAAGATTATTTCTTCTAGCTGTCACTGATATGTTTACATTGAATGTTGTTTACAAATACCGCAACCATTTCCGATCACGTTTTGAAAGCAAATGCAAACCAATTAAGATTAAAAACGTTTTCCCTTACATAATCGATTTAACACTAATTTCACTTGCGACTAAGATCACTTGCGATTTAATTAATCGCAAGTGCAATAATATGTAGGGTAAAGCTGGGTTTTCCTAGACGCGGAGTCGGCCAGCGGAGAGCGGACAACGGAGAGCGGAATTGAAATTAACATGGCATTCCGCTCCGCTGCTAGGAAAACAGTAACATTAAATTACCTAAGACAAGCTGAGTCCGCTCTCCGTTGTCCGCTCTCCGCTGGCCGACTCCGCGCCTAGGAAAACCCAGCTTAACAGTAAATGAAAATAGAGATCTTTGTGTATAAAATTGTTCTTGAGTTTTGATAACCGGGAAATAGACCTTAAATCAGTGTTGTATATTGCTGGGAAACTTACATTTTTTAAATGAGCGTTTTCAGTCGAGACTCAGCACACGACCGACGCGCGTCTACTTGTCTGTAGTAAAAATAAAAGTAGGCCTACTGTGCATTTATGTTTTATTCGTCATGTGTATAAGTGTACAGTTCGTGTATGTGTTTCAAAATCTCCAAGACGCACCTAATGGGGAAGCTCAAGACCTTTAGGACTGATGATGGCGATTTAATTTCACCGAAATGCATCTCCTGTAATAGGATACATTAGGATCGACCAGCGGACACAGGTAATTTAGCCTTTTATTGATTGTCATACCGATCCGGAACAACAACAAACAACATAAAATGAAGTTATGTATAATAAATAGTTTGGCCAGCATATCTGAAAAGATGCAAACCAACTGCTGTTCTTTATATAAGAAGGTTTCAACTGACTACTATAAGATCCCCGTGCGTAGAACGGGTACACAGCTAGTTAGGCATATTATTGTACATTTTAGGTTAGTGTTTTAGGTTATCTTGACAATGTCATCTGTTTTTTTTAGATATGCTATGATTCAAAACGTTATATGTGACAATAAAGAATGATTTATTTATTTAATTTATTGTATGACAGCCCACTTACAGTCAAATTAGTTACAAAAGTAGCTGGTCACAATTAGTAGCGCTGGTCGCTTGTTCATTTGACCAGCGCTACATCATGGCAAACAATTATTATTTACGAGAATACCTAATATGCCAGGACCGCCATATTGGTTTCTAGCAAGCCAAAATTTTATTTAATTTAATTGAGGCATGATTACCAGCATATTTTACCAGGATATTATATTCACCTACTGTACACTATGCATAAAATTATAGTGGATGAATCCGCCTATAGTCCAGGAAATGTTATTTTGGTCAAATACTTTTTTTTATAAAAAGTGTTTGTTATGTTACCTAGTTTTGCTAAATATTTTCTCAAATGCAATATCTGAGATATGGTGGTAGGTAGTGGTGTTAAGGGTAAATGGGAAGAAAAGAAATTATAATATATTGTTCTCTTTAGTTATAACTCAAACTTTAATTAATTTGTCAAAGAATCACTGAGGTTTGCACAAAATCATAGCCTACTAGATTTTACACTAAACACAAAAATATTCCACTATTAAAAATAAAACTGAAACTGATACATAGTTTTTGACTTAACCTTAAAATAAACTTGTAGAACCTAACTTAAATATAATGCCACTAGTCTACATAGAAACATTAAATGATAAGTCTTCCTTATTACTAGAACTTGATAGATGTGTCATTTTCTTTTAAATGGATCCTTTCAGTGAGTGTCTTCAGATTCGTTGCTTCAACCTACATGAAACATAAAATCATCAATAGTTAATAATAATTGGAACTATGTAGACACGACTATTTTACTTTCTCCACTTATAATATAATTATTCCTCAAGTAATACTTTACATTGAAATTGCGACCATACGAATGTAGGTATTTTAAGCCAAGTATCTATTATTTCTACATTGAGAATTTATTGGTTTTGCTTAAGTAATCAGGTTTTAGTAGGTAATTTTGCTTTTTTTGCATTTTGGTATTATCCATAATTTGAGGCATGATTGTTTATACTGAGAGAGTCTAATTGTTCAGTTTATAAAATTGATTTAAAAAAATACTTGTCCATCAAAACTAAACAAAAAATAAAGTAAACTATTTGAATGTATACTTCTTTAAAGTTTTTTAGCTAACACAAAAATGAAAATATAGACTGTGATTTAGTAATGCCTTATTTTCTAAGTATTATTTGTCTAGGAAATAACAGTAACTAAACTGTATACATTTGTCGCTATCTAATATTAATTTAGTAAAATAAGTACAATTTATAAAATTACAGTCAAGAGTGTAGCTTGAATTTCTATACAATATTATATTCATCTTTACCTTGTTTATTATAAATTACATAGAAAAAAGGAGGTACTGGATAAAACTTCCTTGTCACAGCAGCGCGTGCCTTAGTTTTAATACACATACCCTCAATTACAGTATTATTATTAATAATTACCATTTGAGATGGGGACACCACCTATGTGCATATTTTAACCCAAATATGAGTGAAGGATGAGTGTAGAATGGAGTACCACACCCATCACCCCTAATTTGGGGAGGGGAAGGCAAGAGTAATCTTTGGAACTAGTTGTAGACACCCAATCTAAATATGCTTGCGGATACCTCCTCTGTTATTAATTATTAGCATTACGAGTCTTGTATCTCATAACATACTAACCGCAGGTCCTGCTTGTTTCACCTCAACCAGTGGTGCGAGCACAGGCCGACCATGAGCACACTGGAATGGAGTCTCGCAAAGAGCCAACTTTGAAATGAGAAGCCTGCAGCGATCCAGGCTCAAAACATCTCCAAACTTTATTGACCCTGTCAAACACATTATAGATTGAAAGTTAGATTTAAAACTGAACAAAATAAGGTATAATGTAGAAGTTAAGGGTTAGTGAACCCCCATGCTTCATATGATTGATTATGAGTAGTATAGAACACATTACTACAGTAGAACCATGAGCAATCAAGTCTCTCATGGGAATTATCAAATAAAATTATTTGTCTTGGTAGTCAGGTGGTTATGTTATAGTGCTTAAATAAATACACGAGGCCAGTAGATCAGGCAGGTTACAGAGCAAGTGACCTGCCTCTGGTGTATTTCAAGTTACCTGAGGCAAGTAGCCTGCCCACCAACTAGCCTCCTGTAAAGGTGGCTTCAAAAAGAAAGTCTCTATGCATTAATGGCATCTCAGATGTCATACGAGTAGATTATTTCATAATTTGTCATACCAGCATACAAAATTTGCATTGCAAGTCCAGTAACTGTTTCTGTATTATCTTTGATTTTTGCCCAAGCGCTGTTCTATTTTTCAGATTAATGCTGGTAATGAAAAGTGTCACTTTTGGCCCTAGTGATGAAATCCACAGCTCAAAACAAAAGTAAAATGATAGCTTGTATGAGATATTAGTCAGTACCGGGAGTAGTGATTGGTTACCTCGGCAGGCCTCAGTGCTGATGATATCATACAAGAGTGGAGGCATTGAAGGCAACACTCCGCAGCCGTCCTGCACTGATGACAACAGCTGCTTCACCAGGGCAGTCACAGTGCTACACAGCCACTCCTGGTTGGCATTCTGTAACATTCTGCTGCTGTTTTGTACATATTAGACAGTAATAGTAAAAGGTTACCTCGGCAGGCCTCAGTGCCGATGATATCGTACGACAGTGGAGGCATTGAAGGCAACACTCTGCAGCCGTCGTGCACTGATGAAAACAGCATATTAGATGTTAGTAGCAACACTCCGCAGCCGTCCTGCACTGACGACAACAGCTGTTTCTCCAGGGCAGTCACAGTGCTACGCAGCCACTGTGTTGAGCCCTGGCATCCAGCAGTAGAGGCGTTTGTAGAGTCCAGACTGTCCCCAAAGGCCATATTACAAACGCATTGTCTGGCGCTAATCACACTTTGTTTTCCCCCATATGAACATCAATGAATACAAATATAAAATTTAAAAAATAGAAATACTAAGTAATAAAGTAAATTTTAATAAAAAAAGACTATTAAATGGTATAAAATCAATATAAAACACTAGACAAATTTATGTTGCTGAATAATCTACATATCAGAAGTACACAAAACTGACCCATGACAGTAAAAAAACTAAAACATTTTACCTCTCTTTTAAGGCGATTGACCAGACATAATGGTATGTTAATCACCACCACTTTAATGTCTTGTATCATAAAGTTCAGTCCTAGTTTTGATATTCTTGTAAGATGATCTCTTAGTATTGTGGTTTCTGTTACAGATAGATTTATTTCAATGCTATAGTTTACGGGATGACTAGCCAGTCCATCTTCTGACTTGTATCCTATAAAGTAAAAGTATTTTTTAACGTTTTCACAACTGTACCTGGTTTGGCCAATCATAAAAATTCAAAAATCCAACTTGCAACCCTTATAGTTAATTTCATACCAATTTAAATATTAAAACTAGAAGAGTACCCGTCTTACGTACGGGGTTGGCGTATAATAATAAAATTATTATTGCAGTTATACTCGTGCTTTGCGTTTGCAATGGGAGAGGACACGGCTTAAGAAAATTTGGTTCTTTTAATCTACGGTATACTATAGTATAGCACATCTACCATAGCTATATTGTTCTACCACTGCACCTAAACAATAGAAAAAAGTTAAGTTCTCATTGTGTATCACAGCTTTTTGTTGCTGCTTGGTTCAAATTAGCTGTTGTCATTAATTACAACTCCTGATTAAGATATAGACATACTCTTACCTCAAAAACCCTTTCGGGCTCCGCCCCAGTGGCTCTAAAATTTCTCATGTTAACCTTATGAGTATTCATATTTAAAAGGAATTAAAGAATTTTTCCAGCTGTTTCAACTACACAAGTTAGTTCCATGAATTCCATTGTATTCTAAGGTTATAAGGTTTACGAACAGGGTGCAGCACTATTAATTCTTTTTGCATTTGAGAACAGCTAATTTGAACCAAGCAGCAACAAACAGCTGTGAGAACTTAAATGCTTTGATCTATTGTTCAAGTGCGGTACTAGAACATTATGGCTATAGTAGATGTGCTATGCTATAGTATACAGTAAATTATAGTAAACCAAATTGTCTTATAACGTACGTGTCCTCTCCCATTGCAAACGCAAAGCACGAGTAAGACTGCAATAAGCATTTTAGCGAATTTCCCATAGCCTATAGGGAATAAGCTATTACCGTAATACTCATGGTAAGACCTGGACCCGGTACGGATTTACTTTTTCGTTTTGAGGTCCCTAAAGGCCAAAAACACCATCCGTTTAAATTCACATATATATATATATATATATATGTGTGTGTGTCCGTTTAGGGCGATAACTCGAGCAAAAATGATCCGATTTTGATGAAATTTGTTATAAACGTGTAAACCTACATTTATTCGAACAAGTTCGCGAACCAGTATGATCGGACTAGGGGAACGTGGTTTTATATGGGGTTTTACAGTCCACTCTTGGTAATTCAAACACTTGATAATTCAAAACTTTCGATAATTCAAAATGAAGGCTCAGTCCCTAGAGAATCTCTCAATAATTCAAATTTTTACCATGCATTTTGATACACTCGGTATTTCAAAGTCCAAATAGAGGGCAGGTCAATTTGTAACACGCAGTAATTCGAAGTTTCGTCGGAAAAACACTCTATAATTCGAAGTAACTCAGTAATTCGAAGTTTCGTCGGTTAACACTCTATAATTCGAAGTCATGCTGTAATTCGAAGTTTCGCCGAAAAAAACACTCTATAAATCAAAGTCACGCAGTAATTCGAAGTTTAGTCGGCAAAACACTCTATAATTCGAAGTGATCTCTTCCTGTTATAACAGGAAACTATACAGTACAGTAGGCCTACATCCTGTTCCCATGGTAGGCTAGTGTTGGACGTTTTGATGTTTGTTTAGTTAGAGCAGTAGTATGAGTTAGTTCGCTGACTTGTTTTTCTAAGTTGGCAATCCGATCTCTAGATTGCCCGACATCTCCTTGAGCACAAATGTAGTTGTCGACAGCTGATAGTTCAGCTATTGGCGAAATATATAGCGCTAAATAACAAATTTCTTTGCAACTACAGTAACTGAAAAATAAGCCGTTGATTGTGTACAAAAATACGGTATGATGTTTTATTGTAATGTGCTGTACCAAATCAAATCAAATCAAATCAAAGTTTTATTTTCCAAAAGACATTACAAATGCATGTGGAATGGTCAAAGAAGGTATTATGTTGGTATTACCTTTGTATGTATTAAACAAATGAACTCTCTGTAATTCAAATGGTTTATTTTTCTCCCGATAAATCGAACTCTTGATAATTCAAAACTCTTGATAATTCAAATTTATATGCTTGGCCCACCAATTTCGAATTATCAAGAGTCTACTGTATTGGGTAAAAAGGAAAAGTAGATGGAGGAATCAAAGAAATGGATTTCCTCAGGGTAACGTCTTAGCCCCAGCTCTTTATAACATTTACACTAACGACCAACCGTTGCCAAACGCTACACGTCAGTATATATACGCCGGTGATACGGCGGTGGCGGCACAAGGTAAGAGTTTTGAAGAGGTGGAACAGAAGCTGACCATGACTCTAAATGAACTTTCCCAGTACTATGACGCAAATCACCTCAAGCCGAACCCTGTTTGGACCCAAGTTTGTGCTATTCACCTAAACAATAGAGAAGCAGGCCGTGAGTTGAATGTGAGCTGTTCGCGGTATGGGACCTGTTTATGACCATTAGATTAAGGTTTTTGCATTCCTAAAATGCTATGGGAAGGGAGGAAAACAGGTCCGTGACGTAGGAAGTGGTGAAGGAAGTAGTGAAGGCGAGCTGTCCGGAGTGTGGAAACTGTTTATGACGATTAGATTAAGGTATCTACAAACCTTAAATGCTATGGGAAGGGAGGAAAACAAGTCCGTAACGTAGGAAGTGGTGAAGAAAGTAGTAAAGGCGAGTTGTCCGGAGTGTGGGAACTGTTTATGACGATTAGATTAAGGTATCTGCAATCCTTAAATGCTATGGGAAGGGAGGAAAACAGGTCCGTGATGTAGGAAATGGTGAAGGAAGTAGTAAAGGCGAGCTGTCCGGAGTATGGGAACTTTTTATGACGATTAGATTAAGGTATCTGCAATCCTAAAATGCTATGGAAATGGAGGGAATCATGTCGGTGACGTAGGAAGTGGTGAAGGAAGTAGTAAAGGCGAGTTGTTCGGAGTGTGGGATCTGTTTATGATGATTAGATTAAGGAATCTACAATCTTAAAATTCTATGGGAAGAGAGGGAAACAGGTCCGCGACGTAAGAAGAGGTAAAGGAAGTAGTAAGGTGAGCAGTGTAGAGTAACTGAAAACAGTTTGTAGCAGTAAGATTAATGTATCTGCAATGCTGAAATGCTATGAGAAGGCATGGAACATGGATGCATGCCCACGACATAGAAAATGATGAAAGAATTAGTAAAGGCTAGCAGTGCGGAGTGTGGGCAATGTTTGTGCAATTAGATTAACGTATCTAAAATACTAAACAGGTCCACGATGTAGGAAGTGACTTAGGAAGTACTTAGTAAAGTATGAGCATAGTGGGGGAACCGTCTGTGGCAGTTAGATAAATGTATCTAATACTTAAATGCTATGAGAAGGGAAGGAAACAGGTCTATGACGTAGGAAATGGTGAAGGAAGTAGTAAGGCTTGCATTGCAGAGTGTGGGAACTGTTTTGGCAATTATATTAATGTATCTGCAATCCTAAAATGCTATGGGAAGAGAGAGAAACAGTTCCACATGAACAACAGAAACAGTAAGGGGTGGTGAAGGAAGTAGCAAAGGTGAGTGTTGAGTGTGGGAATGGATTAATGTAACTGCAATGCTAAAATGCTATGGGAAGAGACTGTAGACTGTAGGTTAACATGATTACAAAGCATGAATCGAAACATATTATCAAACATATTATCAATACATAGTATCTAACATGCAATCGTTTACAATAGAAATTTACAACTGAGTTGACAACAGCTGATTTTTACTCCATAGAGGCTAAAAACGATTTTATACTCCCTAAAGAGTAAAAATGCTACTTTAGACCCGCAACGCATGCAATAAAAACACCTGTTTTTACTGCAGTATGAGTATGAAAAAAAACAATATAATATGAACCCTTGATGATCCCGCTCAATTTTGTGGATGCCTCTGCAAACGCCACCTAGTAAATATGAATACTCATAAGTTTAACATGGGAAACTGCAGAGCTATTGGGGCAGATCCCGAATTTTTAAGATAAAGAACATGTCTATATGTTAATCGGGAACGTGAGTTAACATCATACCAAATTTCAGCACAATCCAACCAGTATTTAATGCGTGATTGAACTTCAAACAAACACACAAACTTTCACATTTATAATATTAGTAAGATAAGATAATAAGTCAAAAATTCAAAATTCAAATATATTTATTTGTGATCATACAAAATCTTGGCCTCGCCAAGTTTGCAAAACTTGTCGGCGAGGTCCAATTGATTCACAAAAATTTAACAAACAAAATTTTAATATTTTTTTCTTTTTAACAAATATAAATCCCCTATATACAGGGTGAATAAAAAGTCAAGACCCCCCCCCTCTATTATTTTTATAAGTAAATACAGTATACAGAGATATCCTTTTGGTGGTTGAGCAATCTTAGCAAAAAGTATCATTTTATCATTTTGAAATTTTTGAGTGTCCCCCAAAAGGGGGGATTTGGGGGGCAACTCAAATATTTTAAATGTAAACCCCCTTCAAGTGACACCTCATTTTGAAGTGTTTACAAAAACTTAAAGAATGGTGAAAACTATAGCTCGCTATCTCTTCTCTATCCAAAATGGTAGCCCGTCAAATGTTGTGGAAAATCAACGGTAAAAATGTTAATTTTGGCTGCCATTTTGGATAGAGAAGAGATAGCGAGCTCTGGTTTTCACCATTCTTTAAGTTTTGGTAAACACTTCAAAATGATGTGTTACTTGAAGGGGGTTTACATTAAAATTGTTTGAGTGTCCCCCAAAAGGGGGGGATTCGGAGGACAACTAAAAATGTTTCAATTGAAACCCCTATCAAGTGACACCTCATTTTGAAGTGTTTAAAAAAAACTTAAAGAATGGTGAAAACCAGAGCTCGCTATCTCTTCTCTATCCAAAATGGCAGCCAATATTAACAATTTTACCATTGATTTTCCACAACATTTGACGGGCTACCATTTTGGATAGAGAAGAGATAGTGACCTCTAGTTTTCACCATTCTTTAAGTTTTTGTAAACACTTCAAAATGAGGTGTCACTTGAAAGGGGTTTACATTTAAAATATTTGAGTTGCCCCCCAAATCCCCCCTTTTGGGGAGACACTCAAAAATTTTAAAATGATAAAATGAAACTTCCTGCTAAGATTGCTCGACCACCAAAAGGATATCTCTGTATATTTACTTGGAAAAATATTAGAGGGGGGGGTCTTGACTTTTTATTCACCCTGTATATATACAGTTGAACCTCGTTTGTACGAACCTCGATAAACCGAATTCCTCGATAAGACAAATTTTTTTTAATCCCCTTGACACTTTCATATAGGTCAATGCTAAAAACACCTCTATACAACGTAGTAATTAAGTTAAAAACCTCCATAAGACGAATTTGTTTCTCAGCACAAAACCTCTAAAAGACGAACGTGACCTCTATAAGACAAATTTATCATAATCTTAACCTCCATAGTACGTAGTTTTCAAAACAAACAGAAGCTTGTCTCAACATGAAACCCCCACCCATCCCTCCTCCTTCCTCAGTCATTGTTTGGAGAAACCTTGGAGCGAGGAGAAACCTCTATAAGAAGAATAACAGCAGCATTAAACCTCGATAAAACGACCCTCTTTATTAAGAATACCTCTATAGTACGAATTTTTCCCGTACCCCTTGAAATTCGTCTTATAGAGGTTCAACTGTATTATTTGTGTTTTTAGCACTAAAAATAAAAACTAATGAACAGCAGAAAATGTAAGCAATTGCACTGAATAGTTTTAAATTAACATTGAATTTTGGATAGTGAAGTAGACATCCCATCTATATGGACCAGCTGTCACCAACTTTTTATAATAAAACAACGTTCTGTGAGCCCCTTTAAAATGGGGAAGGAATGCCTAGTTCTATCAACTCAATAGTAAAACCTTAAAAATTATTTTCCAGGGTTAAAAATAGAAAATATGTAAAATCTTAGGGTTGGCTGAAGACAAGATATACAATTTACCTGATATCAAAGATTCTAAATTTATTCTCTCATCCACAGCATGTTGATCGAATAATACCAAAACCAAGTTGTTTTTACCATTAGGCCGCAAGAGGGCAGCTATAAATTTTTTATCCACCTGTCCCAACACCTGAAAGCAACAAAAATAGATTTAATTTATAAAACTACCTTTACACTTGTAAATCAAATTAAAAGACAACCAATAACATAATTTTAAAATTAAGTTTACCTCAGCTTCTGAGAGGGATTCAGATGAAAACACACAAGGCTTTTTAAACTCTATTGATGGTAATATTTGATTCGCTAAATTTTCATTTTCATTCATGATGTTGAAAACTCCATTGGAACCTGAAACAATTAATTGTAATTGAATTAATATATTATCTTGATATTTTAATAGTAAAAAAATAAAAATTAACTCTTTCTTCCTTAGTTGAAAATGCTGACAGTGACATTGAAATATTTTAATGTTTTGTATGTAGTGTAAAGTTTTGCGTCTCTTGTGCCAGTTTGGGCTCTTCCCTATTTCAGTCAAGCCTGCTTATCCTCACAAAAAGTCTGAAAAACAATATGTTTTCTTGTTTAACATGCAGCCCAAAACTATTATCCTTTAAGAGGACTATCTATTCTTCATCACATTAAAGAAAAAAAACAAAAGAAAAAACCCACAGGGATTTGAGTAATGATTTTTTACCCCTTCTAGAATTTCAACATTTAAAAATTGAACCAACTAAATTAAGTATAATGATGGTTTACTTGAAAACATAAGTATTAATTTCCCTCGAAATAAAACAAAAAACTTTGCCCACTTAAAACCATAAATCTAATGTAGGTCTTAAATTCTACATAACCATTGAAGTTTAGTTTCACTCTTAGTATGAAGACTAAAGTGGACAATAAACCACTAGCAAGATTTGTCCGTCAAAGGGCTCTTGTGAACTATTTGATTCAGTCTGAAACATTCCACCACATCTGTACTGTGACAGTGAATTTAAAATTTCCCGCGAGTTAAGTAAATCGCATATCTGCCGTGGAGTACGTCAGGCGCCACCGTCATTTAGCTGCCTCCCCACCACGACCTTGAGAGGGAAGGAGCTCTAGGAGGTGACCAGTGGACATTCAGTGCCATACCGTCTAGTAATCAGGTTGTAAGTTTTCGTTGATGGAGGAAGTGAGTGTAGTGTCGCCGATTGCCGACGGGGACATATTTCTATATGGGTAAGTGTTCCTCCAAAAGTCGTAAGTTTTAATTCTTTGACAAACTCAGATTTTAATGTCAATTTTCTCCAAGTTGTCTCGATTTTAATTTTCCAGTATCGAGTCCATAAAGTATCGAACGTTCTAACCCTCGGTTAGAGGCAAATGTTTCACCTCGAGACTCTAGATTCTTTTAGAAGTTTTATATCTATAATCGAGCGGAGGCATCTGTCTCGTCGGTTCGATTATAAAAGACCCCCTAAATTTCAAGCAAGAAGTCATTTTGATTTAGTTTTTGTAAAATGAAAAGTCAGTGAAATTTTATTTCAGAGTATTCCATTTTGTTTTTCCGTAGGTTAAGCGAGGATAAAGTTTAATTTTATTTTCAGAGAGTGTTATTGTATCCTGTATCCATTAATTTGAAGTCCCCTTTAGAATTACTATTCAATATTAGTAGTATTCTAAAAACCTAAAAAGTGTGTAATTTATTAAGTTGCAGGTTGTGTTCCGTGTGAGGTAATTATCTCGCATGGCGACACGTTTATAGAGAGTGTTAGGTTATCGATTATTCTCTAATTTAAAGCCCCTTTTGATTTTGATCTTATTTGTGTATTTTAAAGGCCCACGAAGAGTTTAGATGAAATGTTGTCTTACGTATAATATTCCGTGTGGGGTATATATCTCGCATAGGAATATTACCGTGCGTTTGAGATTAATCTGGTTTAACGCAGTCAGTTTACTAGGCGTTTAGTCGTAAGATTTAGCTAATTTTCCTCAATATTTTGTCTCCGAAGTGCGGTGACCTTTGGGTATTTCTTGCGTGTTAATCCGCGTGAGGCACATGTCTCGCGCGTCGGTAGTCTATTCAAATTAATTACACCCGCCTTCAGATTAATTGACGTGTCAAGTCGTATGGGGCATTTGTCTCGTACGACACGATTTGTAAATATATGTTTTATAGAATATCGGGAGGGGCATCTGTCTCTTCACGAAATCTAATTTATCATTCACCTTGTAAACGTGACGATTCAGTGTGTATCGGTGACGTTGAGATACCGCTTTACATATAATAAAGTGTTACGATTCACCCTGAGGCGTGAAGTGTGTAGTGTAGGTTTGGTGCGAGAAAGGAGCACGTCCCGACAAACTGTATATCGTTCTGATTAAGTACCTATTGTTTGAAACACCTTTCAATTATTATATATCCGTAGTTGTAATGATAACGTAATAAATATCGATTGTTTACTAGATGTGGTTACAATTTTCATCTCCTGAGATATTTCCTTGCCTCCAGACAAATTTTAGTATTACCAAAAGGGTCGAACCTTTCTCTGTGGGTTTATCCGAGGCAAATAAAATTTATTTTGTACTGTGGGAATATTTGACATATTAATAACGTATTTCTATTATGTTATTCCCCTTACAGTACATGACAGAGCACCTGTCATTTTAACCTTCAAGATGAGTTCATCCCCAGTGGAATGGAAAAATACGCCGATTTTGGACAACAGTATAGTCATTCTCATTCTACAATCATCACTATACTAATTTTGAAAATACCTTCCATTTACACTCAATTTTAGGATAAACCTGACTTTAATACTAAATACATTGAAATAGCAACCATACTAAGGTAGACATTTTTTTAAGCCAAGTATGAAGGGAGATGAGTGTAGGATGAATTTACCAACTGTCTCCTTATATTTCATGAGCACATTAATATGGGTGTAACATAACATATTGTTCATACCTTTGTTTGTATTTGAAGAACCATCCCTCCATTTTATGGATGCCAATTCAACATTGTTAGCATGAATAATGCTGTCTACAACCCTTTTTTCAGCTTCTGATAGAGGTTTTTTACTTTTCTTCAAATTTTCATTAGCAATTAGCATTGGGGATACACCTTTTGGCATGAACCAATGTCGGTTTTCCATATTGAATGCCTTATCCGAATCCTTAAACAATGGAGTTGTAAAAGAAGACATTCCGGTGAAGTGATTAATGTAGAATACTTTTCCACTTGATGTAATTTCCTTGTTCCAGTTTGTGGTATTTATCTGTTTGTTGTTCTCAACATTTTCACATAAAGGGGATTTTCCTGTTGTTTTGTCAATAGGTGAGGTAATATTTTTACTTTCCTCCCTTAAACTATCTGAATGAAAAACATTGTCTGATTCCAACATGGTTTGTTGGTGTAACAGAGGGACATCAAGAATTGTTTTGTTACTCGCTGTAGTACAGTTGGTCTTGGTGTTATCGAGACTTTGGTTTAGTTTAGTCTCAAAAATGTGCTGCTTATCACATGTTGGCTTGGTATTGGAATTAAATGATTTTTGTTCATCGCAATCTATATTTCTGTCGATGCTCTTACTATTGTATGGACAAGATTTTAAGTTTTTCTGAGAATGAATAGAAGGTTTAATAATTGAATCAAAAGTTTCAGCAGACTGATATTTTGAATGTTCAATTATTCTGTTACCATCAACTTCAAAGGGGTTGGATTCACTGTAGTTTTTGTTGTGTTGCGACTTTCCAAATTGTTCTGGAGCAAACCAATGATATTTTTCTTCATGGTATTTCAAACCATTTGATAAATCATGATGTGATGCAGTTATATTGTTAATAGGTCTTTTAAAGGGTGTGCTTTCAATCGATTCTTCTGCTGCAAAGTCTTTGACTGGTTGGAAAAAATTGTACTTAAATTTATGGTTTGATTTTAAACATTTATTTGCAATTTCAGACCTATAACTGGTTTTCCAGGAACTAGGAGCAAAGCCATCTTTATCTGTAGGTTTGCAATTAAAACTTTCATTGGATTTCATAATAGGGGTTGATTTGGTCCAAAAACTATGGTTTGGATTGAAAGACTTTTGGGAATAACTGTTAAATACTGTTGGAATCAGAGAAAAATCAGTTTGTTTGTCAACTGTGCATGGAATATTTGTTGAAGTGTCTAAATACTCCAGCGGTTCATTGAGATATCCTGATCTCTGAGTTTCATTTTTAGTATCACTTGTGAAGTGTACATTCTTTCCCGTATTGTAAGCTATGGTTGGTGTAGAATACAATGTATCAGGGGATGGAAATTCATTCACTGTGTGATAAGTTTGGCTCTTTTTACTAACAAAAGGAAGTTCTTCAAATTGCTCATGGTGTTTTTTATTTGACAAATAGTTGTAATTAGAACCAAGCTTACCTTTCTTGGAACAACAGTTGATTGAATCAGGTTTTATTTCAGTATAAGTGTCATTGTGATGCGGCATGTTGGATACAAGAGTTTCTGCATGTAGGCTCTTATAGGCCTTCTTCACTTCTTCTGTTTTATTTTTAGGTTTCTCGCTTTTACCTTTGATACATTGATTCAAAGTAGAAATATCAATGTTTTTCTTTGGCATGGGCAGGTGTCTAGTTGTTTTTGAAAACTTAACTTTGTTAGTCAAACTGTCCCCTTCTATATTCGAGGAAGCTTTCACACGTTTAATTTGAAGGCATGGCTTAGCCGGGGCTTTCATGGAGTTTAAGCCACTTATTTTTTTCCTTGTTGTAGTAGTTTTGACATTTCCAAATGTTTGGCTAAACCAATTCCAACCACGTTTATTTCTGTCTGATGTCACATATTTGTTGTTAGCGCCCTTTAAGTAAAATGTTTTATTTGGAGATATTTTTTCTTCTGGTTTAAAAACTCTTTCTGGATCTAATTTTGACGTTGGATCATTAATTTGATTGTCTGATTTGAATATAGATGATAACTCTTTAGAATGAAGGTTAGAGTTCATTCCTTTACTGCAAGTGAATTTGTGGTTGTCTATATATTCTAAGGTGTGCTTTTGAGTTAGCTTTAAGGCATTTGTTTTGGGTATTTTCTTTAGAGATCTAGATAACTTGACTTGCAGAGTTTTTCTTGGTGTTTCTATACGAGAGTGTTTGATCAAGCTATCGTATATGTTTTGAATTTGACACATATTCCTAAGTGCATCATTATAAAAGTCATGTGATACAATAGGTAAAATTGAATTTTTATTGTGAACATCTTTTTGTTCTTCTGAAGGGAATGAGGAAGTAATTTTCACTGCAGAAGATATTTCTGACTCTGACTGCTCAGTTGTTAAAATATGCTCAGTTAATTTACTTTTCTTCAAGAAAGTAGGTTTTGCTCTTGGAGCTTTGTAAAATGAATTACTTTCAGATTCTGTCAGAATGTGCTCAGTAAGATATTTTTTTACTGAACGATTATTGACTGATGTATGTACAATTGATTTTTGGCTAACATTATTAAATACACTTGGGTTACCTTCTAAAGTATCTTTGCGGCCCTTTAATTTAAAGTGAAATGTTTTATTTGGAGATATTTTTTCTTCTGGTTTACAAACTCTTTCTGGATCTAATTTTGACGTTGGATCATTAATTTGATTGTCTGATTTGAATATAGATGATAACTCTTTAGAATGAAGGTTAGAGTTCATTCCTTTACTGCAAGTGAATTTGGGGTTGTCTATATATTCTAAGGTGTGCTTTTGAGTTAGCTTTAAGGCATTTGTTTTGGGTATTTTCTTTAGAGATCTAGATAACTTGACTTGCAGAGTTTTTCTTGGTGTTTCTATACAAGAGTGTTTGATCAAGCTATCGTATATGTTTTGAATTTGACACATATTCCTAAGTGCATCATTATAAAAGTCATGTGATACAATAGGTAAAATTGAATTTTTATTGTGAACATCTTTTTGTTCTTCTGAAGGGAATGAGGAAGTAATTTTCACTGCAGAAGATATTTCTGACTCTGACTGCTCAGTTGTTAAAATATGCTCAGTTAATTTACTTTTCTTCAAGAAAGTAGGTTTTGCTCTTGGAGCTTTGTAAAATGAATTACTTTCAGATTCTGTCAGAATGTGCTCAGTAAGATATTTTTTTACTGAACGATTATTGACTGATGTATGTACAATTGATTTTTGGCTAACATTATTAAATACACTTGGGTTACCTTCTAAAGTATCTTTGCGGCGTTTCTTTTTTACAACAGTAACATCTGTTTCCGATTCTGTTAAAATATGGTCTGTTAAATGTTTTCTTTTAATACGGACACCAAATGCTTTAGGAGCTTTAAAATGAACACGACTTTTGACCTTTGACTCTATACAGTAGTTATTGGACTCGTTAGTAGTATGACTTGTATTTGTATTAATGTGTGCATCTTGATCATTAAGTCTTTGTTTGACCTTTGATTTGTTATACACAGCTAATTCTGTCTCAGCAGAGGCAAAACTAATATAATTTGTATTCCTTTCATTACAATTTACCATGGTTTCCTTATATGAAGTGTTTTCCTTTCTACAACTATTCTCTAGTTGAAGACAACAAGAAGGATTATTGCTGTCAGACACCATTTTCACTCTGTTCAATTTGATTTCACACATATCAGCAAGTTCTTTATTTCCCATGGTTTTATTTTCTAACTCTTCAGGTACCACGGGGTTTCTAATGGTTTCATCGTTGTTTGTTTCAATAGTGTCTTCTAGAGGACATGGTCTAGAGACGGATTTGCCACACAAAACATTTGATTTGACGACATGATCATCATGACTTGCAATGTTAGCAGCTTCTAGATTATGTTCTGTTTTCTGTTCTGTATCAACGCCTTCTTCTGGCATGGCATATAAGGCATTATCGGAAACTACAAATTTCCTTATGACATTTTCTAGACTCTTGTCAACAACATCCCATTTTTTAAATTCAACTTTAACTTTCCTTGGATCACCGACAATGTCATACTCAGAAAAAGGACATTGAATGTGAATAACAAACACTGGAAAGGATTTCTCTCTTGGTTTATCATCATTTCCTTTAACTTCTTTCCCAATATTCCTCATTGAAAAGCTCTTAGCTAGGTGTTTGTTTGCTACTTCGTAAATTCTCTTGTTTTTTACCAGTCTTCCATTTACATAAATAAATTTGAAATTACCAGTTGGCTCAGTTTCTTTGCTAATATGAAGAGTTACTGTAAATGGATATTCTTCCAATGTGACAGTTATCAGGCCATGAATTTCTTTCAAATTACAATGATAATTAACAGCGTCTTCACAGCTACTGAACTCTTGAGTTTGTAAAATCACAAGCTTTGTAACATCGTTTCTTAGAGTAAACGATACCTGAAATGTATAATAAGAAAAATAACAAGTATTCCATTAACAAACTTAATTCATATTAATATATACTTATTATTTTATTTTGAATTTAGAGAGCCAACCTGAAGTATACTTAAAAAACTAATTGTGGTACAATAGGACAACAATAACTAGAACCATGATATCTGGAATTCCTTGATATCTGAAATCTTTTACAGTTCCCTTGAAATCCCGATAACTCACAACTGTGTAAAGTACCTTTGTTAGTAAAATATTTTAAATATTTAACCTTAATAAGTCTAATTTAACCATTTTGCAATCAATATAACACTTATGATATTAGTATGATTAATTTGAATTAGAATAACAAGAAACTTTGAGTTATAACACTTATCTATAACTCAAAGTTTCTTGTTATTCTATATTTTTTATTGTTTTTTGGAAATTTGTATTGCCAATGTTTTTCTCAAAAATCCATAAATAACAGAGAAATTGGATTTGTACAAAAACAGCTCAAACTATTTTTAATAAAATTTATTTTAATGTTTTAGTACTTTCAACTCTAAACAAAGTCGTACAACCCAATTGCTGTAAAAATTAAGGTTCAAAAGTTAATGCAACTTTAGTGATTTTCCCCATAAAATATAGTTACTCCCACCGCTCGTTCAAAAGGCGTTGTTGACAAGCTAATGGGAGAAAGCGCGTGTCAGATTGCTGATACCATTTACTTTTTATTTACAACTAAAACTTGCCATAACAATTTTAAATGAAAATCATCAAGATAGTAATTTTTTTATCTTCCATGAATTCAACATTCACAATAGTTTACATCCCTTAACTCTTTGCTGCTTGACTAATGAGCAAATAACACAATTACCTTGTGATTTATGATGGAAAGAGCAATCAAGCAATGCCTGACAGATTCCATCTCCATGGCAGGCTGTATTCTTGCTCTTCTCACAGGCAAATTGTGAAGGAATCCCTTAACAACGATTGTGGTTCCAGTACACAACCTGTTGTGTGTAGAGACCACTGCATTGTTTCTCTCTTTATTGCCTCTGAACACCTAAATGACAACAAACATAATGAACATTTAAAATATGGTTACCTAACATCACCAGTTGCCGTTTTATGGTTTACTAGGTGAAACCCGTCGAAATTGACAGTTACTTCGAGGCTTAGCTAATTCATCTAACTGCTATAAATAGAGTGAAATTATACAAATTTTAAGCATTGTTTAGTGAGTAATAAGTGTAAAAACATTAGAGACTATTGGCACTACAGTATTGCGTTAGTTTCAAAATATGGTTGATCATTCAATGAATAAATTATTTCCTATACCGTACGTCAATGGAATTATTTATACTATGTTATTACGTATTACGTATTGGTGGATCTTTTGTGGTAAACACTTCCGCGATTCATCAGTGTAATGTAGATTAAATCTATGCTTTATTTGAGGACAAATATCTGTAAATATTTCTTTAGATATAAATTAAATGGTTTTTGTTGCTGACCACATGAGTAAACATGCACAACCCTTTTTGTTAGTCTAATAACATTCAAAGGCTCTCTATGAGTTCAAGCTCTTATTTGTATACCGTACATATATATATTATGTTTCCATTAAGCTGAATGAAAACATCGAAGGAACCTCTCTGAAAACTCTGCATCAATTTTCCATCCTTCTTTCTAAATCATGCACATATTATTTCTACATACAAGTTATTGGAATTTTAATCCAGTTTTAACCACTATTAATTTAACAAAATTGTCAAAATATGGGCACGGCTCATATGGGCAACGTGCTCTTCTGCACTTGTATTATTTTGTATTGGATTACACAATAGAAGTGTTTCCCAATGATTGAAATATTTATGACGATAATCTCATGAACCTAAGGTGATCAACCTAGAATAATTTGATAAAATATAGGCAAAAGTGGTCAAAAAGGTATACACCAACGCGTTCAATAGAAATAGAGATAAGATAATTCAATAAAAAATCATTTCAAGATGTACTATGATATTAAGATTTCCCACTGATTTCGTAATGGGTATATTGCAAAACATGACATGATGCAAAAGAAAATCAATTTTAAAATCAGAAAATAACATTGCAAATACAGTACTTCTTTTTGACTAATTCAACTCACTAAATGTGTGTGGTTATAAATACATTTTAAATATTAACTGCTGTTTCATTAAAAAGTAGTAAAAAATTATCCATATGGCTATAATGTAAACAAATCTGGGGAGGGAATTTTAAAGGTTACTGGGGCAGAGCCCCAAGGGAATTTACTTTGTTTTCCTTTTAGTGGTTCATCTACAGACCATGACCTTTCTTTAGACATCCCTACCAAGCTTCTACGCCCAGCAGTTCTCTCAAATTAGTGGAGATAAAGTTTCCAATAAATAAATAGATTCCTCTATATTAACCTTATGGGAGAAAACCCAACTTTGGTGGAAGATTCTGCCCAAACTAATGGACTTAAAAAATGAGAACCACTTTGCAAAACTACAGATCAGGGCCATTTTTTTTTTACACTTCAATCATCAAAATCGGTCTAAAAATGAGGGAGGAGATCTGTTTACAAAAATCGGCTTAGCGTATTATATATATATATATATATATAGAAGATAGCTAGAGAGATATAGTTCAGGGTGAAGCTTAGTCATACAGTAACTTTTATACCTAATGGATGATTTTCCTAAGAAATAAGCTTAAATTTTTAGGAAATGTTAATATAGGTACTTAATACTTTACTTTAATACTTTAAACTAAAATGGCGACCATACGATGGTAGGTATTTTAAGCCAAGTATGAATGGAGATGAGACTGGCTTGGTACTGACTCAGGGTGGCCACTCAAAACAGATTTTTTTATTCCCGGTTTTTTCCCGGTTTTCCCGGGTATTTTTCAAGGAATTCCAGGGCGTATTGAAGTCCTATTTTCATACCAACAGATGAAAATATACTGCTAAATTTACTAATTTCGTAAAGACGCATTTTAATAAGAGCTGAAATAAAAAAAAACTACCAACTCATTCGCACAATTCAGCACGGAACTGACGCGGACATAGTGGTTATGTTGTACATTGTACAGTTTCTGATCGTATTGCCCGACGCTCGCCGACTACGGAGACTACGGCCGACATGTTCCTTAGACAGGACTGTTAATTTTTTAATAGCCCGTACAGCCAATGGCAACTAAGGGACCTACAGTTTATAGTGGAATCCGAACCACATTTATCGTGTAATTTACGAATTGGTCTAATTATCTAGGATAGTCATCCGAATAGTCGTAGTACTCACTAGTGCGGATGTTAATCCACACCAGGGAGTATGGCACAATTTGTGACCTCCAAGTATGCTGGATTACAGGAGAACGCCTTGGTCGCAGTCTAATAAAAACTATCAGTGGGTGATACTGAAGTAAAAATTTAACAAATAAAAAGAAACAAAACTATAAAAAAAGCATAAGTGTAATAATATTCATAAAAAGTGTTACTTATCGTGTTCATTCTAACTATCCAAATTAATTGAATTACCTTTGAATAGGTTTGTTCACATCCTTCAGGTTTGGATACAATCAATAGGACACTACAAGCTTCTATTATACTGGCAATTGACTCTCCACGAAAACCATAATAAGGGAGATTTTTCTTCAAATCTTTGATTGAACGGCATTTACTTGTCATATACCTGGAAAAATTAACATAGTTGTCTAAATTATTTGGATTTGGATTAAGTTATTGGACTTTGTAAAGGAAAAAAAAAACCTTTTACTATTATTTATTGATTCTCTTCTCAAATGCAAATTTATTCATGCCTATATGAAATATAATTTAATATTCCTCTAAATAACTCTTTTCTTTTCAATCATTTATTCTTGGTTCTCATGGGGAGTAAACATAACATTTTGGGAAGTTTTACAAATAGAATAGGATCTTCACTGAGAAATTCACTTTAGGCCTATATATTTGTATTATCATAGACTAACCAACACAAGTAGACTTCTCATCCCATTGTAAATTTTGAAGCACGTTTTTCGTATCTAGTTCATGTACGTGACACAAAGGCGCTAGTGTCGATGAAACTTTGTTTCCATTATTTTAGGGTTAATTTCTTGATTTGTGCTTTACTGTTTGGTTATATAACTAGGGGACAAGTTATTGTGTATGATTAGATGGTATTATTTGTTTAAACGAGGTTTTAAATGGCTGTAATAACGGGAAACAAATTGTTAACAAACCACGACCTCTACATAAACCGTACATGAACTAACAATAAAATTGTCTTCAGCTGTTCCATAAGGATGAGAAATCTACTAAGGGAGTATGTTTTATCTATGGTATTATTAACTACATGATTGTTACAAATACCATGACAAACACACAACAAATATAGATTGAAATTAATATATAGATAAATTAAATAAACCAACTGTTTGACATTAAATGCAAACTCAAAGCAAAGTCAATATTTATCCACAAATCTAGGGAATTAAAATGCGTTGTTTTAAGATTGACTGGGGATGAAAAGTAAACAGGACACAAGCACATTAGGCCTATATATAAATAAATATATGTATATGTACGTGTATATAAATGCAAACATATCAATTATTTAGAAACATAACACAAAACAACAAATAGGCCTCGGAAGGCAGGCGGTTGGGTTGACGACGTGACGGCGATTATTTGAACACCTTCAATGAGAGGGACGCAATAGTTCATACTGTTGGACCAAACGATTTTGGACCAAATGAAATACTCCCCAACTGGATGATAAAACGATTTTGGACCAAACGAACTGTTTTACAACTGTTGGACCAAACGATTTTTGACCAAATGAACTGTTTTACAACTGTTGGACCAAACGATTTTGGACCAAATGAAATACTCCCGATCTACAAACTCATTTGACTGCAGACAGGTTAAAAGCCAACGAATGCATTTAATCTTAAGTTGGTGTTGATTAGATGAAGCATATGCTTATTGGTTGAGACGAAACGCGGTGCGTTCGGTATTTGGTGGGGGCCCATAGTATTTGGTATGTTTACATTATGAGGTTGCAAGAGCTAGCATTGACTATATAGCTAGGTACCGTACTCTCCCACTAGCATGAGATCATGGGACTGTGATGTTTTCTATAAAAAAATATACGGACTGATAGTGATAACACCAAACATAAGTTATGCTAGTAATTTTCCCATATGAGTTTCATATGTTCTTCTGATTTTATTACTTACCTTTCTCCAAGCACGTCAAGCTCTTCTTTTGTCAGCCCCTGTCCATTGTCAATAACTTGAAGAATGAAATTTTCCAAATCAATACGAATGGCAATTGAGGTTGCTTTTGCATCTAAAGAGTTCTGAACCTAAAAAGTAAACAGATTTTACTTTTTAGGCTAGCCCAACTGATTTTAGGCTGAAAGTGTACGAGTTATGATAACCATCGATGTATAATAACTCTACTGGATAGCGCGCTAGGTGGTGGAAAAACGGTCCGTGCCCGCCAATCGAATTGGCGGGATACCGAGGCGGACGGGCCGAATGAACCTCTCTGTTTTACACAAACATACATTCACTCAACCTGCTCTGCTACATTTATTTGTTAACATAAAAATTTCAAATTGATATATTATTTTTCTGGAAAAACCAGTGCTCATTACTATGTAGCTAGTTTTTACATTAACATATTTTTTATAATTTATTTAGGCAAATTAAAACAGATGATTGTTTTTTAACACCATTAAAAACATGAAAAATGTAGTAAGCGAGGAACTTTTTTATTTTTTGGTCAGGAAAAAAATTCCTGCGGCTAAGCTTTAGATCAAAGTTATGAATTTTATTTTTTATTTTAAGCTTTTTTTTATACGGAGCCTGCTTGTATCATTTTTAAGCGATTAAAATAGGCATAAAATCGCTTGGCACGGCATTGGCGCTAGGAGCTCGGCCGGCGCAGCATCAGTGTACGGGATATAGAACCCGAGTTTCTAGCTTTTAATTATCATTATATTACATCAAATATGTCATTACATTACGAAGAATGGTAACTAAATTTACAGGCATATGTTTATGCATTTTAATGCTTACCGGTAGTCTATAGTTAACAAAATTCTTTGAATCAAAGAATAAATGTTGGATTTCACACTAGTAGCCTATTTAATACCTAAGAAAATATTTTGTTATTATTTTACTTCAGTGAGAATAATGAATACATTTGAGATATTGGCATTAAATATTATACACTCATTTTATTTAGCAATATAATATGTTTTCCAAACACGTTAATCACAGTATGACAAAGAAACATACTATAATATAGGCCTAAACAAAATATATATTCTTAAATGCAAGTATCTCAATAATAATTGGGCCTCACCGAAGCAAATGATGACATGCATATGCGATCAAATAATTATTGTGATATACTTTGCTCTGGTTAATGTTCAAATATAAATAAATCTAACTCTTTAGTATCACCACTACATTTCTCATGAGATTTACTTTTGACACATAGTCCATAAAGTGTGAGCAAGTACGTAGATTAATTATATCTGCTTATAAAACCTCCTTAAGTTCGTTACAATCAATTATCCCCGGAATATTTCCACAAAACTAACATAGCAATACACGGCGAGAGCGGGCGCGACGCTCGGCACTAGGGTGAGTCATGCCTTTATCCCCACTCCTCGCGGACAGAGCGAGGTAGCGACGGACCGTTTTTCGAGCCCTACTTCAACCTGAGCGCGCAATCCAGGGAGTTATTATATATCGATGATGATAACAAATTGTTTTGAAATAGAATCAAATTCTTGATTCTTGTTCGGAGTTAAAAAAATACTGCTTTTGGATTATGTGTGTCACATTGCTATGGTGTATAGGTTTAATACACTGGCTATAAAATAGTAGTTTTATTAATAAGATGGTCAACCTTGCAGTAGACCTACAGCTGCGTTTACACAAGACCAGTAGGCAGCACCTGCCTCAGTTAGCGTATATAAATTACTCAATTTAGTCTCAAAAAACCATGCCTTACAAACTTATCTGGCTTCTTGTAATTGCGGCTTAAGCACAGATAAAGCGAAAAGTATGAGCCCAACTCACACAAATCAAGATTCTGTCTAATTTAAACTAGGTAGACCTAGGTTGAACTTAGGTTAGCCTATTAGTTGGTTTGATATAAGGAAAACTAGGCTAGCTACTATTAAACACTCTTAAAACCTTAACAGCAATATCAAACAAGCAAACAAGGTATACTTTCAAAGTAATCTAAAATTAACAATCAAATAGGCTAGGTAATATTTTAAAAGTAACCTAAAATTAAAATTAACATGTCAATAAGTCACTCACCAGCTCACTAACACAATGAGTTACATCAACAATAGATATTCCACTTCTCAAAGTTGATTGCACTTCTAATGAAAGCTTTTTAATCCTCGTCATATTTGACATTACATTATTTACATTACATATTTTTAATATCAATAAAAATAAGTTAAATGCTCCATGACGATAAAAAGTAACAGTAAGTTATCTCACAGTTCGACAAGTTGGTTCAATAAACATCGTTCATGTTCATTCATGATGTTTGTTTGATCTTGATCTTGGCTTGGTGGCTGGCGTTGAAATTTGAAATGTTGTTGGCTTTTGGTTTATTGGTTTGGTCAATTAAAATGTCAATCTCACATGTATTTTAAAAATGGATTGTTACCACCAAAACCAGACGACATCATAAAAAACAAAAATAAAGAATACTATCATACAGCAAAACAGCAAATTCTAGAAAAAAACAATTTTTTTGTAGAAAGATTTCCAGACTCGTATGAAACCATACACTTGTAATGCAAAACCACTTGAGTTTTGGTTGTATAATAACATACAAGAAACAAAATTATTACTTTATTCAAGATCAAGTAATATTATGTAAGACGTTTGGAAAGGCTTTTAGGTACTGTATCACTAGCAGGCCCGACAGCCATCGTCCTGTCCTACCTAATGTGGTTTTATGTCAAATGCTCGTTCATTTTCATTTTTCAAGATAAGCTCGTCGCATCGCTCACTGACGGTTGAAGTTCGTTCGCATCGCTCAATCACGTCCTGGTTGAAGTTCGTTCGCTACGCTCTCTCACCTTTTCGTTGGGGCTCGTTCGCTGCACTCACTCCCCTTCGGGTCTAGCTAGTTTGATACGCTCACTCACCTCCAGTTTTACTTTCTCCCCCTATGGAGAAAGTATTGTTTTCATCCAAATTTTCGGGTTTGAATTTTGAGTGGATATATCCATTTTGGATCCCCCTGAACAATAAAAGTGGTTTTCGAAGTGATGTATGTGTGGATGTGTAAAGATGGCCGTGTGTGTATAGAGCTACAATCCACACCTGTGTGGAGCACCCCCAAAAAGAAAGCGGTCTGTGGGTCCTCCCCCAGGAAAATTTTATATTTTTAAAGCCCTTTGGTGACTTTTTAAAGAAGTCGCCTAAAAGTTTGTCCAATTCTCCAAAAACAACCATTTCACCTGTTGTTTGTCATGAGCAAGTAGATATTGGCCATATCCTCCTAAAAGGAGTTAAATATTGTCTTGGCGACTTTTTCTAAATCCGTGTTTAACGTCTAGAACCATGGTGGAAGGAAAAAACATAGGTGTGCTATTCCCACATATTCTGACGTCACTCGGATTGCAAACAAAAGATCACCTGATTGTAACTGCCAAATTAGTATGTATTTCTTTTGATTTGATTGTTATTGTTTTTATAATAATAAAAACAATAACAACCAAATCAAAACAAATACATATACTAATTTGACAGTTACAATCAGGTGATCTTTTGTTTGCAATCCGAGTGACGTCAGAATATGTGGGAATAGCACACCTATGTTTTTTCCTTCCACCATGGTCTAGAACTGTGTCCAAAAACCTCGCATTTCACCTTTTAGCGAATTTCCCTATAGGGAAGTAGCTATTACCGTAGGTGGCACGGTAAGACCTAGACCCGGGACCGATTTACTTTTTCATTTTGATGTCCCCAGAGGCCAAAAACACCATTCGTTCAAATTTATATATATATATATATATATAATTATATATATAGACTTATATATATATACGTCCGTGAACGCGATAGCTTGAGTAATTTTTGTCTGATTTTGATGAAATTTGGTTTAAAGGTGTAAAGCGGAATAAACTTGAATGAGTTCGCGAACCAGCACGATCGGACCATGGGAACGGGGCTTTACGGGGGGTTTTATGGGGTAAAAATTTGTTTTTCTCACTTTTGACCCTCAAAACACAAAATTTCCCGATTTCTCTCTAAACCTTTTTAAAGAGCTTAAAAAAACAAATAATTTAGTATATAAAAGTATTTTTGTTCGATTATTAGTAACGGAGAAAATTAAAAAAATTGTAAATTTAAAATTCCCATGTTATTCTTATGGAGAATATTGTCAAATGTTGTAGTTTGCTTGTTTATGGATATAGTTTGATCAAACTTGGCAAATTTATTTATTTTGTACTAAGCTATCAATATTATACTCAAAAACACACTTTATTAGTTTCCTTGTAGCAGCAAACCTAGGTACTCGTTAAACCTAATGTTATTAAAATATATTTAACTGAAAATCAATTCGAACAGACAAATGGAAATTCGCTTAGTCGGCAGGTTTGCTGCGGCGGGGGTATTATTTGTCATGAACAAGAAGACATTTTAAAAACTAAACTATAACAATTGCATTGATACATTTTAAAACATACTGTAGGCTAACATTAATCTAATTATATGAAATGGTCTGTAAGAATAAGGCCTATAAGAAAACCAAAGATTCATAGCAAAAATCTGGAAATGAATATGAACTCTATGGAAGAATCACGTGTTGGTTCTTTAGCATGCAGCCGATTGCAGAAAAAGGAAACCAGCTGTTCGCAGTGGACTCCGCTCCACTGAGCTATAATAATAACTGGAGTAACCACTCTGTGTTTTAAAAACGTACCACTGTTTTTGATGGTTTTGTTTCAGAGTTTCGTGTTGTTAAATAAGGCTGGCCAGGCGATCGGTTGGTGGGATTTGTCAAATTAGAGGCAAGATCAAGATGGCGTCATCCTATTGTCTTGTTGATAGCAAACAAAAATATGTCAACATTATGATTGCAATATAAGTTTAATTATTTATTTTACGAGCAAGAGCAACCCATTTTAACAAGATCATAAACCAATGGTCGTTCTTTATCAAATGCCATAGGATAAACCCAAGACTAAACCAATATCGGCAATATCTCTAAACCAGGAAACTTGACTAGCCTATTTTCACCACATAGCTTGAAAAGAGGTAAATAAGTTAGTAGCCTATTTATTTACCATCAAAAACAATTTATATGTTTCAAAATAACTTTAAATGCACAGGTTTTAACGTGCAATAACCTAAATAAGTTTTTGATACAAGTCCTTGAAATAACGGATAGGCCTAACCTCAAATGAATAGTATGGTTATGTTAGAATGAATTGGAATTTGACAGCATCCCACCAACCGATCACACGGCCAACCTAACAACACGAAACGCCGAAAACAAACAAGCAAAAACAGTGGCACGTTTTTCTCTAATCTTTAACCAGAGAGTAGTGACTCCAGTTATAATCTATATCTCAATGCTCCGCTCTGCTTGCTTATTGCTTATTCTACTAAAATTTCTTTCTATTGTTTGTTGTTTGTATTCACTGAGCTATAATTCTAACTGGAGGTAGCACTGAATGTCAAAGATGCGTGTCGTCAGCCGCCATGTTTGCGTGAGGTGTGAGTTATAAGAAGCCATGTTATTGGTTAAGAAAGCTCACTGCTATACCAACCTAGTTATAGAAGCCATGTTATTGGTTAAAAAAAACTCACTGCTATACCAACCTAACAAAATCAGCGACACGCTCTTGACAGACTTCTGCCATGGCAGTGCTACCTCCAGTTATAATTTTAGCTCAGTGTTTATATTGCATGCATGCTTTTGCATTGTATCATAGGTTATGTCTTGTTCGGGCCTTCCTTCCTTGGGTTAAATTCTAACTTTAATTCCATATTTAGATTCAAATTTTCAGAGAAATAGGCCTGTAAATGGGGAAAACACGAATACGGCTTAAAGGTGCTAAAGGTAAAAGATGGGCGAAGGGGCACAGTTCTAGTTCAAACCCTCAGACTACTAAACATCGTGATGCCGCCAAGTCAAGATTCTTTCAAGAAAACTTGAGTTAGTATATTTGCTTTTATTAATAATAGGATAAACATAGGCCCTACTTAGTTTTATATTTTTATCCATATGAATACGGTCCACGAACATGCAGCGGTCAATGGTTAACCCATTAATTTAGGCTTGGCTTTTGTTATGTTGATGGTTGTACTTGATAACTTACATGTGATTCTGACTTGTGTGAACCTGGCAATAACTCAGCAATAAGTAGTGCATGCACCTCATAAAAGCTATTGCTGGCCGTTTTGCAGAAAAATACACCCGAGTAGGTTATTACTGACAATGTCAACAGATAGAGGACACATTAACGGACACGACAGTATCAGTATCATGTAGGTACCTGGGTACTAAGGTATGGGGGGTAAATGCAGCAATAAGTAGTGCACACGTTGTATAAAATCTATTGCTGGCCGTTTTGCGGAAAAAAACATCCGAGTAGGTTATTACCGATAATGTCACCTGACAGAGGACACACTACCGGACACGACAGTATCAATATCATGTACCTGGAGACTAAGTTAGGGGGGTAAAGTCAGCAGTAAGTAGTACGCGCGCCTTATAAAATCTATTGCTGGCCGTTTTGTGGAAAAATACGGCCGAATAGGTTAAGTTATTACCGATAGTGCCACCTGATAGAGGAGGACACATTTATCGAACACGGCACTATCAATATGATGTACCTGGGGACTAAGTTAGGGGGGGGGGGGTAAAGTCACCAATAAGTGGTATGCGCGCCTTATAAAATCTATTACTGGCCATTTTGCGGAAAAATACATTCGATTAGGTTATTACAGATAATGTCAACTGATAGAGGATATATTAACGGACACGAAAGGATCAAAATATGTACCTGGGGACTAAGTGATTTGTCTTACTGAGATATATCAATGCCAATAGTGATCGCTGATTCAGTAGCGCGCCGGGGCTCTGCCCGCAGTTTAGGGAGTGCCATTGTAAAGGTTTTCAGCAGTGGGTGTTAATAAAATTAGGTATACTGTAGCATTAGTTAAATTTAGATTAACCGGTATTTAAATTTCAGGTCTCCCTTCAAGTCTTACAACCGAAGCCTTGAAAAAGCACAATGCCTTTACATTTGGTGCTAAGAAGAAAACTGATGAAATGGAGGTGGAAGATGATGCACAGAGTGCAAGCACATTTAAAACAGTAGACACATTTGCAAGTGACTGGAGTGCCTGCTCAAACAAATCCTTCAACATGTAGGCTAAGTGAAGTTGGCCTAAGCTGTACATCTGTACGTTAAGTTAATGGTGGAATAAACCACTGAGTAGGCCTTATACGAGTAACTCTTCTATATCGCCAGCTGCGTTTGTTAAAAACTTAATATTACCTACTTTAATACTTTCTTATGGAGTGGCTACCATACAGATTTAGGTATTTTAAGCCAAGTATGATTAAGTAGATCTGTGTAGGATGAGTGGCGTTCGTGTAATCAAGTACCCAAGTATTTGATTGGTCGTTAAATAATCATAGATTACAATAGACCTCGTCAGACACACATATAAAACAATAGTGATACATTATAAGTCATCACATCCACAGTTTAGATTTGTAATGTGATGCTAGATGTCCTAAAACTGACAACATAGGTTCATGTCAATCATCAAGTCATTAACTTAGTTAGGCCCTATTGTCATTAAACTTAACTTACTCTATCTTCGTAATTTAAGCAAGGGAAGATCCGTGAACTGGTTCACTTATTCACCTATTTTATTCAGAGTCTTGTAAGTTAGTAGGCCTATTGTTAATATTGTCACTGCATATTGTGTTTGCCAATCAATCAATTTGGGCACATTTGCTGTTGAGTTAATTTGAAAAGTAGCCTACTTAATCACTGACATATGCTTATATTTAAACCAAAATGAGAGAATTGATTGCTAAGCTGTATGGATTTTTTAACTAGCAGGCCTATGTAAAAAAAACTGTTAAATGTAAATTTGTTGAAGGCTCCTGACACAGTTCCGGCCAGACTCTGAAATACACAAGGAGATGTTAGCAATACTGGCAGCTGTAACCGAAGTTATCAAGTCACAAGGAGGGAAGGAATCCAACACTGAATACTTTGGAGCTCTGGTATGCGATCTTATATTTTTAGCCTAGGTTAATGGTTAAGTAGGTTAATGGACATTAAAATATTGTGATATCAGATATCATAAACTAATACCTACTAAATAATTATGGAGGTGAAATGCCTAAAAATAAATTGGCATTGAAGATCATTAGACTTTAGAGGTTTCTGATGCGCTGGAAAAGCAAATTTTCGCTCTTGTTTTATTGTATTCATGTCAAGCATTCTCTTCATTATACAAATTTATAAGAAGCAGCCACTTTTCACTAAAGTAGATCTTATTTATCCAGCCACACGCTGGGGTAATATTGTCTTTTTTACTAAAAAGTTCAAACAAGTATATGATCCGAATTGTTGCAGATGACGACACTGTCCGATGTAGAGTTGGAAGAGACCCCTCTAGCCGCTACCTTGTACCTACTACAGATGGGTATCAGAGGTGTGCCCACTGGCGTCTTGCAATCCAGGTTCTCCCAGTGCAGCAAAATATTCCTAGACATTCTTTCAAAATATGCAGAAAATGAAAACAATGTCATCATGAGAGGAGTAAGTTTCATGTTAGTCCACAATAATTGAACAGGTTGTTTCAAAAACGACATAGTTAAAAAAAAACTCAGAAAAAAACCGTCTTAAATCAATCCTGGAGGCAATGCTGAATAAAGGTTTCTTTACCAATTTTCAGGTCAATGTAAGAATACCCATTGGGGTTATATGACTTATGCTTGTTCTGTGTTAAATAATGTATTTAGCATGTAGACGACCTAAAACACTTAAATGCAATTGGGTGAAAAACTGACTTATGCGGTATTTAAAATAACATATTATTCAATTTATAATAAGTAGGTAAAAAGTGTAAAAAAAGGTTAGGTAAACTAAATAAAAGGTATGGATGGGTCGGTTGGCAAAATTCCTGTAGTATTTGTCTATAGTATTTGTAGCAAAACCACCAAATTGATAATTGATGGAAAAAGTCTGTTAAGATTCAAGATGTTATCGGATGTCAAGCAATAATTTCGCTACAACCTCGTGAGACAATGGTGATTACGGTAGCGGAAGACGATATTGAAGTCTTTGCAATGCCGAAAGATGCTGTCAATGTTATGGAATGTCATTCAAACGAAACGATAATCATGCAATGGCAGAGAATATTCAATATTTTGCCACGATCGTGGGACATGGCATGGTCTACTTAGTAGCGATATTGCTAAAGATGCTACATTCGCAACATTTAATTTTCCTGCTAAGCTACACTGGAGTTACTGTTGTTGGATTTATTTTTTGTTTAGGAGCTGATATCCTGAGCCCATAGGTTTAAAAAATTACAGGTTTTAATTCTCTATTGATGAAGCCTTTGTTCTTTAGAAAAGCAACCGCTGTAAAATTTCTTAGAGACAAATTCTCTGTTGTCTCAATGTGTTACTTATCTCCTGTGTTTGTATTTTCCAGCTATTCAGCTGCATATCAGTTTTATTGAGGGCGCAAGAGTTGGGCGTGTGGAAAGATCATTCCACCAAGAAAATATTGGAATCGATGCTAATCTTCACTGTGCATTCAAAACCCAAAGTAGGTAGAATAATTCATGTTTTAAGTGGTGTAACAGAATAGTCCTTATGGTTTCTAGCAACTAAAAATCAATACAAGACTTTTTACCAGCTTAACTTACTAGTGCCAATACTAATTTTAAAATATTTGCTTTTAAAAGCTAAGCTTAAACTAATGAAAGTTGCCACTAGCCAATAATAACAATGTGCTAAAACTATGAAGGATCTACAAATGAACTTTTTTATAATGATTTTTGGTTATGCCTTTTTTTTAAACTAAAGTTTTTCATGTTATCCTTGCAACATCTCAAACTAAACTGCAATTAATAATTAAAATACAAAATAACTATAACTTATAAAGTAGGCCTGGCTCGGATGTACAACAATTTTAAATTTAAATATTTTAGAAGCTCTATTTTGAACCGCACCCTCGTACCTGCACCCAGGCGAACGACTTGGAAGCATGACTCCATGTGCAGTCCCGAGGAGCGGCACACAAAACTTTACCAACAAGAGGAAAAACCGTGGAGGAAGGCTCAAGAACAACACGCCATTTGAGAGAAACGAGCTGTAATAACAATTTCAAGAAACATTAGGCTAATTCCAAAAATAGTAATTAACAATTATAACAATAACCATCCAAATTTTCTTTTAATGAAAGCATATGAAATTGTCACTAGAATTATTTAGGGGCCCCAGAAATTAAATTGGATAGAATAAAAACTTTTAAAGAAGTCTAACTGAAATAAAAATTTAAAAGAGAGCAATAACAATAAAAGTAGGCTAGTAAAAAGAATTTGAAGGAATAACAACAATAATTTAAATGCTGTGCTCAGAAAAATTTAACGTTAAATAAAACTTCTCAAGTCCATACGGCAACAGCAACAATTAACAACAAATAAACTGTAGCAAAATAAATAACAAATAACAATGGTAACAGGATTTGCGGTAACTTGCGGTGTCAGTAGTATGCCGGTACAGAGGGCCATGAATCTGGGCGGAGAAGAGGGCCAAGGTCCCATGTAGGCCAGGACTTCGTATGCTTCTCCGCCACAGGCGGATGGTCCAACTCCTGGGCCGACAGCACCGGAGGGGGAGGGGGGGGCGACAAAGCAGGACGGAGAGGCGGCCATAGTTCAAAGTTAGCCAAGATGGAAAACCCTCTCCGCCAAGGTTGAAGTGTCAGTCCAAAGCACTCCTCACGGGCCCCATCAAGCGCGCTGGACGCTCTTAATCTACAGCATAGTTGACAATATCTTCACAGAGATAATAAAAAGGCAAAAGTACATGGAAAACATAAACATGCCACAAAATTAAGATGCCAAAGGATGCAAAATTATGCCGATGCAGTGCTTACAACAGTCGCACAACCTATGAAACGTCGGCGGTGGGAGTAAGAAGAACAAGACACAGCCTTGTTGAGGGTCGTTGGAACAGTAAAAGTTGAAACACAAACTAACCTACTATACAAAAAACAATTTGACTGTTGATTATAAGTCGTGACATTTGCCGGTGGAAAGTAGTCACGGCTCAATTTCTTAAATTTATTTTTGTTATTCCATAATTTTCATAATTCATTAAACAGACCTTATCAGTACTAAGCGGTATGATCTGTTAACAGTTAGAAAATTCATTTTATTACATCATACTTATGGCGATACTGGATACATAATTATGATGTATGATCATGTGTAGATTGTCCTGTAGTTTTGTTTCGTATAAGCTTAGATTAAGGTCACCAAAAATGTTGTTAACACTCAAAAACCACATACTGGTGAGTGGTAAGTTCTAATATGGATAGAATTAGAGTTTTAATTCCCATGTCAAAGCTGTTGCCAGTTTTATGAATTAAAAAATAAGTTCTGGTAGTTGAATTGATTCATTCTGCCCAGTCCGTCGATATAAATAAGGCCCACTGATTTCTGCTAACTTTTAAAGCAAGTCACACTTAAAGTGACATAAAATATCACAGTTGTGACTTGTGTAGGTGAGGAAAGCTGCTCAGAAAGCTGTCGGTTCCGTGCTGAAGAAGAGCTCAATGATGCAGGGAGATAACCCGCCACCCCACCACCCTGCGGCCACCATCGTCGCTGACTTCTGTGTGAGGCAGATGGAGAAGCATGGTGCTGGCACGACTACCCTGCATGTCCTGGGCATGCTCAAGGAGATACTGGCTACATTCCCTCGAAGCCACCTCAAGGTAACCAAACTCTGTAAAAATGTATCCAAGGGCAAGGGCATTGTACAATCAATTGAAAGAAGGGATTTGGTAGATTAAAACATTGACTATTTGATACTGAAGTAGACATCCCATGAATATGGACCAGCTGCAGCCAATTATTTTTGTACCAAAAAGAACATAGTTGTGTCCAGTTACAAGAATGCCCTGTTTTCAACATTTTTTTTCTACCTTTTTTTTGTTGCTAACATAATTGATGGGTCATGAAAAAGTTCACAGTAAGTCGTTCCATCAATTTGACTTGGTAAAAAAGTTTGTGTATTCGACAGAAATTAGTAATGTACATTATCACTATCTCTCGGTGGCTCACATCAACTATGACAATTTGATTAAAAATCTGGCAACAACTTTAACATGGGGATGTAATGTTTAGTTGTATCAATAGTCAATGATTATAATCTCAACTTTGGTATAAAATAATTAGAGTAAGGTTACAGGTTTCAGTACATACCTGTATTTACATTGTTTTTTTTACAGTTAAACTCTGCTGATCTGATATTCGGTTATATGGCACATTTGATAACCAACTTTCAGTGTAAACGTTCGTTTTTACCCTGAATTACACTTACACTTACAGGTATGTTTGACACGATTAATTTGCATGAATGAAATCGTGTTAGGTCAGAGGTATTGAAAAATCACAACAGAACTCAGAAATGTGGCTACATACCATTTAATAACAATTTTACTCTCTACTTTAACTATATTTCTATTATTCATGTAAGAAAACCAATCTTTAGATTAACAATCGATCACTGCCATTGTCTTGAATATGCTCATGCTGTATTAGCAGGTGTCTATGGTATATCAAATAGCCTTGTGTATGTAGTTCTGGTGGACTGATGGATGCATTCAAGATCAGCATGTAAAAACGTAAGGGGAACAAGAAATAAATGGACCAAAATGCATCAATTTACCTTTTGGCTATAACAATCAAATTTTATTTTTCAGACAAGTTGTGAGACTATCCTGAAAGTGATGACTCTGGGTAACATTCTGATCAACAGCTGTGGACTGCAAGCTCTACACGGACTGTTTGTGTCTCGCCCGTCCCCAGCAGTGCTGCCAGCTGAACTAAACGCTAAACTGATCGCAGCGTTGTACGACTACCAACCGTCAGCTGTTGATGCTCAGCCCACCCAGGCTTGGCTGGCCGTCATGCAGGAGGCATTCATCAACCTGAACAAGTATGACATTTCACCTCTCATGGGAACATTCTTTAGACTTGATATGTTTGTATGGAAATCTCCCTATCTATCTATACTATTATAAAAAAGAGGTGGTTGCTGTATGTGTGCATGGGAAAAGTAAACTCGAAAAATACTGGTCGGATTGGGCTGAAATTTGGCATGATGATAGCTCACATTCCCGATTAACATATAGGCATATTCTTATTTCAAAAATCCTTTCGGGCTCCGCCCCAGTGGCTCTGGAGTTTCCCATGTTAACCTTATGAGAAATGGAATTATTGAATCTTAACAGCTGTTTCAATTAAACAAGTTGGTTCTGTTCTATGATGTTCAATAGCATTAAAGTTACAAGGATTACCAACAGGGTGCAGCACTATTATTTCTTTTACATTTATGACAACAGCTAATTTGCAACCAAAAGGTGAGTGAACCTGGAGGCGAGTTAGCGTAGCGAACGAGCTAACCTGAAGGCAAGTGAGCGCAGCGAACGAGCTCCAACCTAAAGGTGAGTGAGCGTAGCGAACGAGCTCCAACCTAAAGGTGAGTGAGCGTAGCGAACAAACTTCAACCAGAACGTGATTGAGCCATGCGAACGAGATAATCTTGAAAATTAAGAAGTTAAACGGGGCAAAGCCCGCGGGTTACAGCTAGTAAGAAATAAGTCTTAAACTGCTGTACTTATTAGTCTTGGTGTTCCTGAAATAAAATATTTAAAAATTGTTTCTTATGTATGTTTGCATATTGATTTAATGATTGCGATGGGGGTTTCTCTTAGAATAATTATTGATAACTTTTGTAAGAGCAGTACTCCTGGTCTAAAAAAAAGATGAACTCATTTTTTTATAACTTAAAAATACATGCACGATCATAGCCTCCGGCCGCGGTGTTGGTATAATAGTTATTACTGTACATTGTATAGGCTGGACCAAGGTGAGAGTGTGGCTAATCTCCCCCACCTGTTCCTGCTACTGACGACACTGTGGCTGTCAGACAAGCCAGAGGTGTTGACTGCCACTACACTCACTATGAGAGCTCTAGTAGAGGAGGTGGTAGGACCTGCGGCAGCTCTGCCTCAACACCGCACAGCTGTAGCCAACGTCATAGCCACTGTACAAGCCGGCCTCAAGTATCAGTACCATGCTGCCTGGACACACGTGCTTCACGTTATCGGAGTTCTGTTCAAGGTCACTGACAAATGCAAACAATTAATAATATATTTTAAGGTCAAATATTGGAATTTTCCTATATCTGTAGTTTTTCACTACACAATGTTTCGGGAGGATAGGAAACCTCTATTTTCAAGTTAGCTTGTATCCTAAAACAAAACCCTACATATCTATCTAGCTACCTTAGCTGTATATAGCAATAGGATAAGTCCAACTAAGTTATTTTATTATTATTATACAATAAATTAAGTACCCTATCCTTTGCAATAATGAACACAGCAAATAATATTGTTCCCCTTATTTCTCAGTTCATGGTTGTTGGAACACTGAAAGCTCCTTATGTATGTGTACAGGTTAAAGGACCAAGACGTCTTAATCTTAAATATTTTCTGAATCTTTTCTCAATAAGCTGTTATATTCATTTTTTGTGAGAACAGCAGAACATCGAGCAAACTAAATTGGGAATTCCCTTACCTCATGTTAAAATCCCCCTTCGTGGAAGTGGTGTATCACTGTAATCCGCTAACTGGTAAAGCTGGTTTTTTGAGACAGTAATCGTTGGCTGTAAAGCTTGGGGAGTAAGCACCGTAAAGTGACAAATTACAAAATGACGAGGGTTCTTCAATTAAGGCCTCCATAAAGCTCCTGTCACAATCAAAAGCTGGTTTAAATTTTAGACCAATTTCCTGTTCTTTACTCATTCACTACTGTTGTAGCCGGTTTCCACCTCAATGCAACAGTTAGTTTACGCTTCTCTTTTAAATTTTGTGCAATTTTTCATATGTTGGTATCACTTAGCATGAAAATATTACTATTTATAATTTGTAGGCAATGAGTTGTGTTTGATTGGTCTATCTAGGTGTGTGGGGAGCACTGTGTAGACAGGCTGACACCTTGCCTACAAGAACTGGCAGATCTAAGAGACTCCCACCAGTTCTGTTTCACCAGTGAGTTGGACCATGCTGTTGGACAAGCAGTTCGCTCTATGGGCCCAGACGTTGTTATCAGGGCGATTCCACTACAGGTCAGTAAACTGCAAAATACTTGCAGTATTTAATTTTTTATGTTTTAACATACATGAACAATTATTGTGATTTCTTTTAACCCTTAGAGTGCCAGGCGAGAAATAAAAGTAATGCTCAAAAAATGCCGATGATTTTTCCCGAAGGTCGCGCTAAAAATGCCGAGCGCGATCTGGCGATTTTTAGGTTAAAATTTCGTAAAAATCGAATTTTCGATATTTTGACCAACGAAAATCGATGTATCGCATCTAGTAACTTTCGACTCAATGTTAATATATGGGTTAAAAGAATCCGAGTATCCATTCGGTTGTTATGACAACTGTTCGATCATTACGAAACGTCCGGTCAGCCGGACGTTGGCACTTTTGGCTCGTTTTAAAAACGTCCGGTTCCCCGGACGTTGGCACTCAAAGGGTTTAAACTGCCTTTGTTGAAAAAAAGTAACATTTGGCGGGACAACTGTATTTATATTTCTTTCCTAGTTAATGAAACAAGATACTCTTTCTTACTTTGGGAATTACAGAGCCACTGGGGCGGAGCCCGAAAGGATTTTTGAGATAAGAATATGTCTATATGTTAATCGGGAATGTAAGCTTAAGCTATGCCAAATTTCAGCCCAATCCGTCCAGTGGTTTATGCGTGATTGAACTCCAAACACACACACAAACAAACAAACAAACAAACAAACAAACAAACAAACAAACAAACACACAAACTTTCACATTTATAATATTAGTAAGATTTATAATCTGCTGTTTCAGCTGAAGGGGAGCATGGATACTGCCCAGGAGTTCAAAAGATCCTGGATATTACCCATCCTGAAAGAGAACATCCAGAAGTCAACTTTGAAATGTTTCATCGACCAATTCATGCCACTTGCTGTTATGTGCAGGTAAGCATTTAGCTACACATATATGTCAATACAAGAATACTTTATTTGCAATCTTTAAGATTAAAAGGAAGTCAATACAAGTTGTAAAAAAAAAATAGCTGATTAGAGTTCTTGCAGTGTAGACATGATTTATGACGTTAAAAAACTTGGCACGCGTGTATGGGGGTTTCTCTTCATAGAGCCTTGTGTTGTGAGCAGGAAGATTGTAATAATTTCTTCGCCTTGTGTTGTATGAGTGCACTTCCTGGTGACGACAGGCCCAGGAAGAGTCAATAATGGCAAGAGTTCGTAGTATGAAGAGGTTGACTATGGTCATGATTTTTAACCTCCTAAACTCTGGGCTGCAACTATCTGTTGTCTCAATGCCAGTTTGAAATTAATAAAATTACAAAAATATTAGTCATTTTGATAATTGGTCTTGATAAACTCACTGTTGATCTTAAGCAAGCTTAACTTAGGCCAGTCATGTACCAAATTTAATGTTGGATAACAAGAAACACTAACGTAATTTAATCTGAATTAGTCAGTTATTACTGATAACTAGTATACAAAACTAATTTTCTCTCCTATACTATAGTACTGCCAATTTTACTTTTGAAAAGAGGGATAATTTATTTGTGGATTAGTAATAAATTGAATTGACATGTTTTGATTTTATTATAATAATAAGGATGGGGAGGTTAGTCTAACGATTCCTAGAAAAGATTGGTTGAACCAACCAATATTAAAATTGGAGGCAGATAAACCAACAAATGTTGCTTGGGCAAAGGCGATTAATTTAGGCAGCAAATGATTCAGAGCCAGTTAAGAGAGGGTCCACTGTACCCCTTCACTCTAGACTTTTATTGTTGTTGAATCTTTATTATAAGATGAAAATTTTGGACATTGCTTTATTATTTTAGTGTTCTCAACTACTGTATATAATTATATATATTTGTGTAACACGTGTTGTTGTGTAGGAACCAGTCAGCCAAGTTTGCAGCCGAGAACAACCAAGTGCGGTCACTGAGCTACGACCTGATGCAGACTCAGCTGTGGGCCTTACTGCCCAGCTTCTGTAGCCAGCCTGCGGACATTGCCACCTTCTTCTCGGTAAACCAACTATAAACTACACTTAATGACTTAAACACTTACTGTTCTATGTTCAAAGCTAGTATATAGTATATTTTGTACTTAATCTGACGGAATCTACTACATAAATAACTTTTCTAGAGTAGCATAGGCCTATATTGTTGATCATTGTGTATTGTACAGGGAATAGCCAAGCCACTGGGAAGTATGCTGAGTAACCAGAAGGATCAGAGACTGTCAGTGATGTCTGCTCTGCGCCGACTCATCACCTATGCAAGGGACAACCAACGTCAGCAGGATGTTGCAGAGTTGGCTAGGTAGCTTATTGTTTGTATTGTTGATCATTGTGTATTGTACAGGGAATAGCCAAGCCACTGGGAAGTATGCTGAGTAACCAGAAGGATCAGAGACTGTCGGTGATGTCTGCTCTGCGCCGACTTATCACCTATGCAAGGGACAACCAACACCAGCAGGATGTCGCAGAGTTGGCTAGGTAGCTTATTGTTTGCATTGTTTATATTGTATTGTTGATTATTGTGTATTGTACAGGGAATAGCCAAGCCACTGGGAAGTATGCTGAGTAACCAGAAGGATCAGAGACTGTCGGTGATGTCTGCTCTGCGCCGACTTATCACCTATGCAAGGGACAACCAACGCCAGCAGGATGTCGCAGAGTTGGCTAGGTAGCTTATTGTTTGCATTGTTTATATTGTATTGTTGATTATTGTGTATTGTACAGGGAATAGCCAAGCCACTGGGAAGTATGCTGAGTAACCAGAAGGATCAGAGACTGTCGGTGATGTCTGCTCTGCGCCGACTTATCACCTATGCAAGGGACAACCAACGCCAGCAGGATGTTGCAGAGTTGGCTAGGTAGCTTATTGTTTGCAATGTTTATATTGTATTGAAGGATTGACGTACGATGATTAATATCTACTAGATAACCTGTTGCTCGAAATTGAGCAAAATTGCAACTTGTAATAAAAATGATAAACAACAAAACCATAAGCAGCAAGACCTCAATCAAAGAGTGATTCTAAAGTCTATGACTGATTATAGAAATACGAAAAATATTATGTTGTAACAAATTATAAAACTAACCTACAATCTATATAAATAAAATTAGAGTTTTGTCTGTACATTGCTTAGAATAATGAACTTTTTGGTTATTTTTACATTTCATAGGTCAGAGAAACCGAATCAAACCTTATCTCAATTTCTGTCTGTCTGTCTGTCTGTCTGTCTGTCTGTCTGTCTATCTGTCATTCTCTTGGTAACGCTAAAATACGCACTTTATTACAACTACTCCTCAATAACTATAGCACTGTCCCGCCTGAAACTTATTTTCCAAATACTATACATATATGAGATGGTTTTAGACGTATTTCATCGAATATGAGACAGTTAGATATTTAACAGTAAACCCTTGAAAATCAAGTTTTTGTCGATTTTTGACGTGGAATTTCTGGAAGCCCATGTTAACCTTATGAGAAATGAAATTATTGAATCTTAACAGCTGTTTCAATTAAACAAGTTGGTTCTGTTCTGTGATGTTCAATAGCATTAAAGTTACAAGGATTACCAACAGGGTGCAGCACTAGCACTATTATTTCTTTTACATTTATGACAACAGCTAATTTGCAACCTGGAGGCGAGTGAACGTAGCGAACGAGCTAACCTGAAGGCAAGTGAGCGTAGCGAACGAGCTAACCTGAAGGAAAGTGAGCGCAGCGAACGAGCTCCAACATACAGGTGAGTGAGCGTAGCGAACGAACTTCAACCAGGACGTGATTGAGCCATGCAAACGAGATCAGATAGTAAAAATAAAAGTAAGCCTACCGTTATAGGATCGACCGGCAGACACAGAGGTAATTTAACCTTTTATTGATTGTCATACCGATCCGGAACAACAAAAAACAACATAAAATGAAGCTATGTATAATAGTTTGGCCAGCATATCTTAAAATATGCAAACCAACTGCTGTTCGTTATATAAGAAGGTTTCAACTGAATATTATAAGATCCCCGTGCGTAGAACGGGTACACAGCTAGTGTTTAATATAGATCCGTTCTCATACTGCTTTGGTCATCTCTTATGTATTGTAGGTGGGTCCCCACTATGAGAACGTAGATGTCACCTAGTTTTTGTTAAAATGTATTTTGTCATTTCTAATGTTTGATATTAATCGTCCGTGATATCAAAGGAATTGAATCACGTATAGTGACGACTTCAGGATATGTAGCTAATCAGTTCAGGTCTACAACCAAGTTTTTAAAACTAGAATTTCCTGTCTTAATGGGTTTATTTCTTTTAATGTAGGACTTTAGAGAGTAGATTCTATAATAGTGGACGAAGTATCAGTGTTATGTCTTAGAAGATAAGGAAAGGCCAATTGGCTGATTAGGATTATTATGTACAAGGATAGGGATCAGATAGCTTACCTGGTAGACAGAGTCCGGATTAGCCTTGGTAACACACATGACACAACACAGAAAAAAAACTTAATATTCCGTCCCAGTTAGGGACCTCATCAGTTCCTAGACTCAGGTAAGCTAGCTAAACTCTATTCCTTTTCAAAAAGTTCCTAACCAGCCAATTGGCTCTCCTTAAAAATGTAAATAACATAGTATCTGAATTACCAAACACCGTACAGAATTAAATATTACATGTACAAATGAAATTTTTTTTGGTGATCTGTTGCACTGCATCAAGCAAGTGAAGTAGTGTACAGAAGCTTGATTGAAGGCTAATTGTTTGTTTAGGTTTGCCAAGAATTACCTTCCGATCCTGTTTAACCAGTACACCACCCCGGCCAAAGGCACAGATGAGGAAGGCATTCGGCTGGCTACACTGGAGACGATCAAGGTTTGTGGCACAGGGACTGAGCCTATACACTGTGCAATATAACTTGTCTACTGATAGTCTTGCCAATAAACACCTCGATCTGTGAAATCCATAACTATACAATAAATAAAAATTTAGTGGACAGCATCACATGTAATACTGACGATGGAAATTCTACTTTTAGTACTGAAAATCTGTCCAAAAACTTACTTGCAGATAAAATTTGTATACATTTTGTTAGTATCACAAGATACAAGATACAAGAACTTTATTGTTAGTAAAATAAATAATGTGTTACATTAGTATCTCCCTAACTCGTCCATCAATCCTAAACCTAAACATAAACATAATTTAACAAAATTTAACTTCTTCACCTTATAACATTTAGGCACAGATGAGGAAGGCATTCGGCTGGCTACACTGGAGACGATCAAGGTTTGTGGCACAGGGACTGAGCCTATACACTGTGCAATATAACTTGTCTACTGATAGTCTTGCCAATAAACACCTCGATCTGTGAAATCCATAACTATACAATAAATAAAAATTTAGTGGACAGCATCACATGTAATACTGACGATGGAAATTCTACTTTTAGTACTGAAAATCTGTCCAAAAACTTACTTGCAGATAAAATTTGTATACATTTTGTTAGTATCACAAGATACAAGATACAAGAACTTTATTGTTAGTAAAATAAATAATGTGTTACATTAGTATCTCCCTAACTCGTCCATCAATCCTAAACCTAAACATAAACATAATTTAACAAAATTTAACTTCTTCACCTTATAACATTTTCTAACATTCTATAATTAGTAAATTAAATAAATTCATCTCATAGTCACTAGTGAAAACTGATCTAATGTGAACAAACAGAGCTTAATTAAAATTTTCATCAACTTCTTTTTAAATTAATTAAGAGGAAATTTTTAAAATGATTTGGTAGATGGTTCCAAAGTCGGAGCAAAAAAAGACTTGCCAATGCTTGTCGCCTTATGTCATGCCTACTGATATGGATTTTACTTTTACCTCTAGTGTCGTATGAGTGAAATTGTTCATTTGTTGTTTTAAAGATATTTGAAATATATGAAAACTCGACTTGGTAAATGATTATGCAAGGAACAGTAAGAATCTCAAGATTTTTGAAAATGTTAACACAAAATTATATATTACGTAAAATGTTCTCCATAAGAATAGCATTGGAAGTCATACACAGCTGATTTTTGTTTACTTTAATATAGGTGATCACGCTATAACTCCAAGCCAGTATTTAATACACGCAGTTGGTTTACTTCATTCTTAGACAGTTAACTCCGCAATTTACTCTTACTGTACACTATTAAAACCAGGGACAACGTTATTATAATTCAGACTTTTTGAAAACCAAATACCAAACCGAAAATGGAAGCCGTTCAAAGATTCAAAATGGCAGATTCAAGATATCTTTGAACGGCTGCCATTTTCGACTCGGTTTATTGTCTGAGAATTGTAATAGTGTGTTTTTTCTGTAGGTTTACTTATCAATCTCCAATGAGGAACTGACGTGTGAGCTGTTTGACAGAGCTCTGGCCAAGCTAGACTCACTTGCTAAAGGTGATAACTTTGTGAGAGAGAGTGTGCTGGACTTGCTCAGGACATTGTCTGTACATCAGAAGAAACACAAGGTCGCTGAACTCTACTCTCGCACTGTCGCCAAACTGAAGGAAGTCTCCGACCACAAGGAGCAGAAAAAATACTACAGGTATATAGCTGAATCTCAATATCTGTCATATTTTTATACTGTGGAAATTATTGATTATATAAAAAGGTAAAAATTATCTTGTAATTGCTGAGCGTTGTTGATCACCCACTTGGCAGTTACAACAAGTAAAATTAACCTTTGATTTAAATTGTTTGAAATATAATTATGATTGTTTATTAGCTTCTTTGTTAAATTCCAGCAAGGAAAGAGTCCTTTGACGCTGCACACTCTTAGAGGCAATGTTCCTCAAATGGTAGTTTACTCTGTTATAAGTTCAATTAGACACAATGCTTCTTATAATTATTAAAAATTGTTAATAAGTTCAATATGAGTTTGTCTGTACCCTAAAACTTCTTCTCTAATGTGCAGGTAACTATTATCCATGATGGCTATTGAAAAAGTGAAACTTTGGTAGTCAAATGAAAAATAATTCTGTTTAATTTTATTTATATCTGAGATTTTCTAGGCCATCTTGTCATTGTCAGAAGAAATTAACGATTTTCATTTGGTTGTAGGATTTTGGAAGATTTGTGTGCAGGTGATAGTGAGGGATGCAAGCAGTTTTTTGATGACCACATTGAAGATATAAAGGGAATATTACTAGAGTCACTGTCAAAATCAGCCGTCAACAGTAAAGGGGTAAGCATTCTGAAATTGAAACTGATATAGCATCCTTTCCAACAATGACTTCTCGGGGAGCAAGCTGGCACTACTCGCTATAGGATGTGTGACTTGTCTCCAAGGTGCTGGGATCAGATCCCAGTTATCACACCAACTTAAGTAATAACGCCGCAACCCTCTAAGCCTAGCGTGAAAATGGATCAACGAGTATGGCATCCTTGGATATGTGAAGGTGGAAGTGTGAATTGAATTTTTGCCTTATCAATAAGGTGTCAATAGCCTAATTGCTAACTCATTCAAAGATAAGGTTTATATCTTGAGTTTGAACCACTGTGATAATTAGGTAACAAACTTCTTCTTTATATGTGCTGGCCGTATTCCTTGATGCTTGTCTCATATGTGGAAGTTGATGAAAGAAGTGATGAAGCAAACCAAGGAAACCAGGATACTCTAAAACATTTTAGTACCGTCCAAAATGTAGTTGGTGATGGTGTGTTTAAAATAATCTAGAAGTGGATATGGTAACTTTGTTGAATGTTTAACATTCTATTCACTATTGTTTCAAGTAAATCTATAAACAATTTAGGCTAAAAAATTGGACAACCTAAATTTCCTCAATAGTTTATTCAAAGTTTTATCTCACATTACTATTAGTAAGTTCTAAGTTGTGTTCAAAACCTAGATCACCAACAATTAGATTATTGTACTCAATCTGTGTATATTCAGCCTAGACTACGCTGCCTGCTACTGCTGCTCGACCACGCACGCACATCCACACAGGATCTGATAGCGTCTGTGGTGCCCGAGGCCGTGCTGTGCTGCAAAGACAACAACGCCAAGTGTCGCCAGACCGCATATGAGCTACTACACAAGATGGCTGACGTGATGGCAGACCGAGGTCTGCTGGACAGATACCTGGAGATGATCATGGCTGGTCTGGTTGGCTCACAACAGCTGACTAGTGCCACCTTGCTGGCTCTGGCTGCCATAACACATCACAGTAGAGGTGAGCCAATTGTCATCGGTACACTTGGAGAGTTTACAGGGTCTAAAGAATGTCAGCGTGTCAGGCCTTTTTACTTCATGTTGGGTAAAAAATGTTTGCCCTTGTGTGTGGGGTAAAAATAGGGTTCGGCTAAAATTGGTGTTCATTTTGTAAAATACTAGTCTTAATGCGATAATCATATTATAATTGTACATAATATTGTACAAATGATCTCCACCATAACACACTAAAATCGTGAAAATCTTCCGCAGTCACGGAAAATTGTGGTCAAATTTGTGGTCATGGCAAAATCAAACATCTTTAGAGGTCACAGTGATATCTAAAACATCTGTAATCTTGGCAAAAATTGTCAACTAATTTAGTTATATTTTTGAGGCCCAAGGAAATAGTTAACTTTTATTCAAATTTCACAATATGAGACATTAAACCATGCTAATAATATCCCAAATAATTTTTACCCTGTAACTTGTAGTAGTAAACCATTATACTCTGAACTATCACTAATTCATTTTAATTTTTAACCTTTATTTTTTGTCAAATTACTCACAACTACTGATTGACTCTGAATAAAATAGCCATCCATGGATGAAAAACCTTAAGAACTTGTCTCGTGAAAAATTATAAAGTTTTATTTGGTTGAAGCTTATATTTAGGGGGTTAAATAAACAAACCTATGATTTTTAATTGTAAGTACTACAGGAGTTTCAGAATATTGGTGTTAGTGCTACAGTGGTGTGTGTAATGTTTGACAGAGACCATGCCGGAGGATCTGGTGAGGCTGGTGTTCAGCAACGTTTGTCTGCTGTGTTGTTCTGCCTCCAGGGAGATCGTTGGCTCTGCTCTGAGCTATCTCAAAGTCTTCATCACTTCAATGGACAATGAACTGGTCGCTCAGTCTGTGCCAAACATTGTAAGTAAAGATGATAAATTGTTAAATATTTGCGTATAAGTTTCCATGAACTGGCATTCACACCTTTTACAACTTTTAGAGTCAGTAGATTCCACTTTTTTATACATACAAAATATTTTTTTTTTTGTATTACAAAAAGACAACATTGTATACATTTTGCACTGGTGAAGTTCTCAGCTCTAATTTTATAGTAAAGTTTAGTTTGATTGAATCAGCTTGAAATCTTTGATAAAATCATAGAATTGGCACAATAACTGTATTTGAAAACTACATAAAACAGCCACAACTACACATAAATTTTCATCATAAAGGTCCAATTCCTATGCGGTGACTGATATGGCTGTAGTTGTACCACAGCCGCACGATCACAGCCGTACGGCCCGAGACGCTTGTCTTAATTCCTATGCTGCGATGCCCGGGCCTATTGACTAGATCAGTTGCGTTGTGTTTTTAACATCATGGAATAAACACAGTTGGCAGCGTATATATTACTTGAAGAAGAGGAGGAAGAAGAAATATTAATGTGCATGGTGAAAAACAATGAACAACCTAATCCATTTTCATGGTATGGCGAAAAGAGAGGTTTCAGAGTATTCTCTATGAGAGACAACATCAAGTATTGACTCCGCTTGGGGTTGAAAACGGATAGGTGGTGACAAACCAATTCAATCAAATTGAAATTTGAATCATCCATAAAGGTATACACCTGAAACTCTGTATGTACAAACTATAAATTTATTACAGCCGGGAGACTGGAGCGACTATAGCCGCGCGGTTAGAGTCTTTATGGCTTGACTGCTAGTCGCTGCAGTCCCACGGCGATAGACGCTCAATAGGAATGGGTTGCATTGACTTTGCGTGGAAGCAGTCACTTTCTATGGCCGCGTGGCTGTAGGAATTGGACCTTAAGATAGATGACTCACTGGTTTTTCCCCAGTATGAGTTTACATTACTACAGTGACATGAAATCACTGACTGATCATTGGTATATATTTTTTTATTTGTCAATTTTACTATTATGGAACTAAGCTACAACACGTTTGTAATCCATTGACAATTTTCTCAGATGAAAGTGATGGTGGGCATGACAGAAGACTGTAAGCGCCATTTCCGTACCAAGACAAGAGACTTGCTGGCTCGGCTAGTGCGGTGGTATGGCGCAGACAATGTGATAGCTCTGATGCCGGAGACAGAGAAAGTGATGCGTGCGAGGTTGCGCAATATGCGCAAAATTCAGGCTCGCAAAACACGCAAATGGGCGGAGTTACGTGAAGCAAAGGCAAACAACAAGGACGACGAAGAAGATGACCAGTTCTCTGTCAAGAGTAAATTGAAGAGGTGAAAATTAATATAAATTCTTTTACACATCCCTCTTATTTTTTCAGTGATAGCATTTTCTGCATGAAAAACAATAATATTCTTTGTTATAGAAAGATGCATAGTTAAGTTTCGCTATATGTGTAGTAAAACATGTCTTTCAATAATTGTAGCTGTTTATATCACAATTAATTCTGACTCTTAACATTTTTTACCTACTGTATGTTTTTATTCGGACCCTATAAGTTGATTTTATTTCATACAAATAAAAGCACATTGTGGGAATTCAACAAACATGTAATAATTTGTAGGAAACAAACTGTTAGTAATCAATTACATTTTTTTTTTAATAAAAAAGTCTGTAGCTTTTTTGTATATAACTGCACAAAAAATGTTGGTCCAATATAGTTAGGCCTAATTCTTTTAAGTCTGACTTGAGATATTGATTTTAAATTTAACTGTTTCAGTATTGATGACATTTTGGCTGATTTGGACGATTCAGATATGGAATTAGATGAAATGGTGGATGATAAACCAAAAACCAAAACCAAGAAGAAGAGCAATGTGTACATCAGGGAGGGGGCCGATGATATTGTTGATTTTACTGATATCTCGACAACCAAGAAAATTTCTTGTAAGTATGAGATGAGTATTTTTCCTTATTTATACCTTAATTTACGTAGACCTGATAAATTAAAAAGAAAATTTAATAACTATGAAACCAATGATATAAATCTAAAGATGTAGGTAACATAAAGCACAAGAGCCTAGGTTTAGGATTGTTTTGTATGAGGACAGACAGCTAGCTCACAAGGATGGGAAAGAGTCCAATCTGGTAGAAAAACACAACTTTACTCTTTAGGCCAACAGTACAAAATACACAAATACGTACATTAATTTTTCACATTTTCAACTGAAGAAGGTATATGTGGAAAATGTTGTTATTGACAGTGAAATATTCTAATGTTTTTGTATGGTGTTAAGTTTTGATGTTTTTCAGCCATATCGGGCACTTTCCCATTCAGGTAAGCGTGCTATCCTCCCTATAAATTCTGAAATAAACGCTAGGCCTATGTATAATTAACTAATTATCATCTTATTCTAACTATCTATTTTTGATGTTGAGTTAGCCTAATTTAAATTATGCCTACTGTAAATCCAAAGGCAAAGTTTAATTTTTTTTATTATTCTTACTCTTATTTTTTATATTATGAATCTATATATTTAATACACAGTTGTAACACTGTTTTCTCAGTAATTACTGGACCGATCTACAAGATTTATGTCTCAAATTAAAGGGGATAGTGTGTAGATTTGCCGAACTTCCTTAGAATTTACGTATTGTCTAAGGGCTACGACCTACAGCCCTTTAAAGGTCGAGTCAATACAATTCTTATTGAAGAATATAATACACAGTTTATAAATTATTCATCAGCTGTTTAATGTTTGTCAGACATTTGTTATTATTTTTATAACCTCACTTTCAGTATGCAATTATTAAACTTGGAGTTTCTGTTTATAAACACACGATTTTGATCAAGGAAAGTGTGTTTGTTAACTTATTTTTGAAATGTTTTAGTTTTCCTGCAAAGTGATCTGAAGGAAAGTGGTAATTGAGTTTAAGTTTGAGTATGGAATGTGAAATAATACCCATAGTAGGGAACGGAAACTTATTGTTTTGATTAATATAATTTATACTACGGCCACCAGAATAATCATGGGGAAATCCGCTTGCAAGTTGTACGTATAATTGCTAATGAGTGGGAAACATACAAACATTTTATAGTAGGTGACGAATCTTACTCAAGATCAGTGTTAGACGTTCAGTTGTACCAAACTTCACCTTCTCGAGATGGCGAGTATGCTGGGATACGTGGAACTACAATATATCAGTGAATTATGAATTAACTTTATTTCTTGTTAGCCTAAAAGTTGTATTTTATACTTTTATTACACAACAATTTTGTTCCTTTGAATATTCTTCAATGTCATTAGTCATCTGTTAGTGAATATACTTTATACTTTTCAATCAAATGGTGACCATACAAAGTAGGTATTTTAAGCCAAGTTTGAATGGAGATGAGTGTATGATGAGTGACGAGATGTCGCGATCTTGTAGCTTGTTAGTGACTAAGGCGGATTAGACACTGTGTTCTAATATAAATCATTCATTAATATAAATGAATTATCACTATGCTATGTTGAAAACTATCGAAATCAATTTTTATAATATATTGACATCATGTAAAAAAATAGATGGTTTAGGATTGCCAACTTAATAAAAGGTTCGAATTTTGTAAATTTTAGCATCAAGACCAGACCAGGTTGGCTTTGGGCAGTCAGAATTGCAAAAGAAGAAAAAGAAGGAAAGTTCTTTTAAGACAGCTCCTGATGGGAGGTTGATCATCAAGGACCACAGTGACTCGGACGATGAACCTCGCAAGAAGCCAGGACACATCCCTGGACTCTCCGACTCAGGTGTTTACATTCATGCTACTATATAAAAAACATCAGTATGATCAAAGTTGAATAAGAACGATGAAAACTTAAGTAAACAAAGTAGCCTACATCAGAAGCGTACTCTAAGCCTCTAGGGGGTTATGGAAAAAAAGCTTTATTTTATTAGACATTTTAGTCTCTAGCACTCTTGGTTTGTACAATCCTAGTAGTTATACTAATTTATGATCCTAACACTGTTTGGTTGTGTTACATCTCACAGAAGACGAAGATGATGAGTTCAATGAAGCCCGCAGCACTGTTTCTTCAGTAGCGCAGAACCGCAAAAGGCACTTGAGCACAAGCAGTGTCGCCACATCATCCACCATGCCCGCCATGAAGTATCAAGGTTAGTGAGTTGTTCTTGTTGCCCCTTACGCTCTCGTGCTTACAGTTTATCATATGACGAGTAATCATTAGAAATTTGCATTTCTCATATTTAACGTGTAAATACATTATCCTACTATAATATTATAAGTGAGGCAGTTTGGATGGATGTATGTTTGTGACAAGTAAACACGAAAAATACTGGTTGGATTGGGCTGAAATTTGGTGTGATAGTAGTCAACGTTTCTTCTTTAGGAGCTTGGGTATTTAAAATCACTCTTAAACATTTCTTCACAGATTGTATAAGACGTTCGTGCGTACCAGCCATGTGAGGGCTCGCCGGCGGTAGAAAAGTCCACTTCATCATCTTCCCCACGCAGAACGCTTTAATTTGTTTGTTATCAAAAGACTCAAGTCCTTTTCTTAATTCCTTCTCTGCGCCCTTAAAGTTGGTACCATTGTCAGATATCAATTCCGAAGGACAACCCCGTCTTGCTGCAAATCTCCTGATTGCAAGAATTGCCGAGTCCGTATTGAGAGAAGTTGCAATCTCTAGTGTACCGCTCGCACTGACAGACATGTGAACAACAGTGTGCGGTTGACTTCTACGTTCTCATTAAGGGCACCCGCCTACAGTGCATAAGAGATAACCAAAGCAGTATGAGAACGGATCTATATTTAAATATTGTACCATAGATTACTTTTATAATTTTTTTCAACATAATATTTTTCACATTTCTATAATCAGTCATAGCAATTACTTTAGAGCGACTCTATGATTGAGGTTTCGCTGTTTATGTTTTTGTTCTTCATTATTTTATTACAAGTTGCAGTTTTGCTCGATTTCGAGCAACAGGTTATCTAGTTAAAATTTAAAAGGAATAAAGTAATTTTGTCAGCTGTTTCAACTACACAAGTTGGTTCTATGATATTAAATAACATTAAAATCTATAAGGTTTAACAACCGGGTGGAGGACTATTGTTTTTTGCATTTATGACAATATCTAATTTGAACCAATTAGCAACAAAAAGCTGTGAAAAACAAGAATTTCACTTTTCTTTATTGCTTAGGTGCAGTGGTAGAACGATTATGGCTATGGTAGTTGTGCTGTACTATAGCATACTGTAAATTAAAAGAACCAAATTTTCTTAGGCCTACCATACACGTTCCGGTTTTCCTTCAGTCCCGGACTGTACAGTTCTGGACTGAAGGAAAAACTGAACGTGTGTGTCGATTCCTTCAGGCAGATCGTTGGCCGGACGGCCGGATGGGAAACAGCATTGGTCCAGCAGTGTTTCCCATCCGGCCGGGCCTCAAGGCCGAATTGAACATGTATGGTGAATCCCGCAGTCCAAGACAGTGCTGCTTCCCCCTCCCCCTATACATTTTAAGCATTATCGCATTCGCATCCTTTCTTCATTATGAGTCAACTACTGGTGAAAAGCATAATCGGAGCTGTGTTGTTTGTTGATTTGTTATAGTTCGGCCGCTTAGAAAACGACCTGCGCGCTAATGCTAAACCAATGCTGGAGGAGGTCGTTTTCTAAGCGGCCGACCTATAGTATAGTTTTCGCATTTTGGCTTTGTAGTGTTGTGTGGTGATTTTGTTAAGTACTTCACATTAATCATGTCTACCTGGTCAAGAGACTTGACACTCGAATTCATAGAGAAATGTCGAGGTCATGAATGCATCTGGAAAATAAAAAGTAAAGAATAGCCTACCACAACAGGGGAATGAGGGATTTTGTGAAGAAGGCGGACCTAAAAGCCACAAAGGACACGGTGGTTAAAAAAAAAAAAAAAAAATTAAGAAGTGTGTTTAGAAAAGAGTTGAAAAAATTAAAATCGTCTCAAAAACTCCAAACTGTGCAGTTCCGGACTCAAAGCCAGGCCGGGACGGAACGTGTATGGCAGGCCTTATACCGTGTTCTTCCATTGCAATCGAAAAGCACGAGTATAACTGCAATAAGCATTTTATACTTATACGCCAACTCCGTATGAAGGACGGGTACTCTGATAATTTGCTTATAACTTGTGGATTCATTTACTTGGTTTAATTTTCAGCTGGAGGTGTCGGTATTCATAGACCAATCAAGAAGACAAAGCCTGGTACCAAACAAAATCTGAAAGGATCTCTCGGATCTGAATACAAATCCAAAAAAGCCCAAGGAGACGTTAAGAGGAAAGGCCTTCCAGATCCGTATGCATACGTTCCCTTACGCAAAGATGCTCTTAACAGAAGGTTAGTTTTTATATAAATGATTGATTTACAATCTAATCTAGTAACTATTATTACTATGTTTCATATTTTTATATTTAATCATAATATTTCGTTTCCTGAATACTAGAAAACAAGAAATTAATTAATATTTCATTTACAGTGGCAAATGTTACAAATTTAGTGATCCAAAGGAATTTCCACTAAATTATTTAATCAGCTTAAGTAAAGGTTGAATCAGTTACAATTTTTTTTTATAACAAGAACAAGTGATCAAAATCTCAAGTTATTTTATTGTATTGGAAATACACTTTATGAAATGCTGCTCATTTTGTGGCCAATGGCGGGGTCAATCTTTTTATATTACAGCTTGAGTATTTTTGATACAAATTTAACTTTTTCTTAATCTTTCAGAAAAAGAGCAAAAGCTGTCGGGCAGTTCAAGAACATTCTGAAGGGTGCGAAGAAAGGAGCAGTGATAGGAGCCAAAAACAAAATGAAGATGAAAATGAAACAGAAAAAGAAAATGTAATAATAATGTTTTATTTTTGTTGTAATTTTGTATGAACTGTATATATAATAGATAAAAAAAATAGGTTCAGTTTTGTATCATTAAATCCCATTAAACCTTTCTGAAAGTAATCCTATAAAATCTAGGCACTTTTGCATACTACTTTATGAATAATGGAGAATCAATTTTTAACTACCTTTCAATTTCTTCAATTTTTGACCTAGGTGACATCTGGGAAAATGTTAGTTAGTCTATATATATAATACCCCTGCCCCTGCCACAGCAAACCTGCCATCTAAGTGAATATCCATTTGCCTGAATTGATTTTCAATTAAATCTATTTAAATAAAATAACATTAGGTTTTACAAGTACCTAGGTTTGCTGTTACAGGGAAATTAATAAAGTGTGTTTTTTTTGTAAAATATTAATAGCTAAGTATAGGCCTAAAATCAATTTGCCAAGTTTGATCAAAATATATCTATAAACAAGCTAACTACTGTACAACATTTTACAATATCCTCCGTAAGAATAACATGGTAGGTAATTTTAAAATTAAAATTTTTTAAATTTTCTCTGTTACTAATAACTGTACAGAGACGCTTTGATAGACTGATTTTTTTTTTAAGCTCTTTAGTAAGGTCTAGAGAGAAAAGTGGGCAATTTTGTGTTTTGAGGGTCAAGAATGGGAAAAAAACAATTTTTATCCCATAAAACCCCTCCGTAAAACCCTTTTCCCATGATCCGATCATGCTGGTTTGCCAACTCATCCAAGTTTATCCCGCCTTACACCTTCAAACAAAATTTAATTTAATTAGGACAAAAATTAATCAAGGTATCGCGTTCACGGACACATATATAACTCTAAATATCCTTTTAAAATATAATACGTGAGGGTGATTTATACGAAACACTACTCCTCCATTAATAATTTTTACAAACGATGTTTCAAAATTAAGTATTTTTTGTGTGGACACCCGCTTTCACCAATTTCTGTATTAAAAGTCCTCGGGCTTTGCCCCACAGGCCGTCAAAATCCCAATGTATTTCTTATGAAGAGAATATTTTGTTTACTAAATAGACGAATAATTTGTATTAATCACAGCAGTTCATAGTAAACACATGATACATACAAGAACGTTTTCAGAGCAAGTTCGTTATCAGTTTCGATAACTGGAGTGGAGTGATTGATTACATTATCTTTGAGTCAACTCTTTTAAGTCATCGGAAATTATGACTATTATTCATTTTGAAATAACGCTCGTAATGCAAATGTTGTGGAAACACTGTGAGGGTTTTCCAGCTTAGAAAATAAGGTAATGCCAGAGTAAAAAGGAGCTCTCCGTAGAGAAAGGTTGTTTTACAAGGACCAGCTATTCGTGAATAAGAATAAGAACTTTATTCAGCCAGAAAATATTTGATGCAAATACATTGGCACATCAATTTTATAAATAAATAATATTCAACAGAAATCCTTAACAGTCCATTATCTTGATAAATGTTAACCAAAGCCAAATCCAAAAAAGCCCAAGGAGACGTTAAGAGGAAAGGCCTTCCAGATCAGTATGCATACGTTCCCTTACGCAAAGATGCTCTTAACAGAAGGATCCTTTACATAGAAAATAATTTAATTTAATTTTAAAACCCTTATCACTAAGCATCTGTAGGGGTTCAATGTTGTATACAAATGACATACTTTTTAAAATAATTAAGCCGGATGGTTTATGTTTTAGCGAATTTCCCTATAGGGAAGTAGCTGTTACTGTAACGGTTTAGTTTTTATGTGTTACTTCTTTTAAATAAAGTTTATTACTATATAGTGTATATTGTGGGGGGTGAGCTCGCTTGGCAGTGAGCACAAAGAAAGGTACTTGAGATTCGATTATACAAAATTCTATATTATATTGTCAACACAAGTATTATTTATAATTACAGAGATAAAGGGAAAAATAGAATATAGATATTATATCAAGAACAATGAATGGCAAATACTAAATGACAAAATATGATTTCCAATCAAATATAATTGTTTATGTTATTATTCTCAAAATAACTATTCAACCAAAGAGGCAATAGAAATTGGTAAATTTATATATAATATTTCAAATAACTCTGTGTTATTAAAAATATGAATTTAATATGACAAGTATTAAGTGTTTTTTTATTAGTATTTCAAATCTATCTGTGCTCTAAGTCCAAAAATATTAAAAGAGTATAACGGCCTTACCTTGGCCAGCCGGCGCTGGTTCCTAAGGAAGAGTGAATTATTGGTGAAAGGTCTACCACCGATGGTACTTTCAATTTGGCTGCAAAGAGAGAGGGTAAGGCCATAATCAGCAATTTGTTGGGTATTGAACCTACTGAATGCAAGAAGCAGCACAAAACTGCTTACACTCAGCAATCTACTTTACACAACCAACTGCTGTAACTGATACTTCTACAATTGTTTGATTGATTGAAAATCATTTACAATATGAATTTTTAAGTTTATTGTTAAATTTCATTCTTCCCCAAAAATTAAAGTCGTCCTACCATCACATGCCCCCTCCTTCGGGAGACATGGTCCCCATGTCTACATATATAAATACATAATTTCTAAAGAAAAAGTTTTTAAAAAATCACCCAAAATTATAACATTTTTATCTGTGAGGAATGAAAATATGTGTCCAATAGCTGAGTGTATCAAAAAATATAAATAAAAATGTCACCATTTTTTACAAAAGATGAATTGTCCTAAAAAGTCCATTAACTTGAATTAAGTGCCACTGTCCTGGATTCTTCACAAGGTCGTGTCAACAACCTGATGTAGTGAGGAAGTTGAATGAAAAAGCTGACACCTTGCAGAGATTCAGCACGTAGGGTCGTGTGTCAGCTGGGTAGGCCTCCAAGTGGTCTGCTGACAGTGGTATTTGCATGCAACAGAGAATACAACTGAATTAGTGTACTATATATATAACAAATTTCTGAATTAATTTATTTTGAAAAAATCAGGTAATAAAAAAAAAAATTGGTAAGGCCGTTTTTGTATTGTTTAAAAGGAAGAAAATAATCTGTTGCCTCTTTAAGTTTTACAAAAAATTAATGATCTATTATGACATCTGACATCTAAAATAAAGTTTAAAATCTAACATATACTTTCAATATGACTATCCCAAAAAATAGTATCCCACAACCTAAATGTAACAACCCAGTTCCACCTTTTAAGAAAGTATTATAAAAAAATATTCTTAACGTCGTTTATAAACAAAATGCTTTATATTCTGTCAAAAAAATTATCAATTATCATATACATATTTATACAATGCCCTTACAACTAACAAAACCATACACACAAATTTTAAACTCAATATTTTACTTGAACAAACCTAAAAAAAAAAAACAAAGAAATATACTCAATTAGATTATGATTTAGATTCATGATTATTCTTTTTTTTTTCTTTTTTTTTTTAATTTCACAGATCGGCTTTCTGTTTAGATCTTCAATAAAATAAGTTCATTAAGTTAACAGAATCTGTTATTAAACTGTTATATACACATACTATACAATTTATATTAACGTGACTAAATTAAAAGATGATCATGAAGTTTTCTCTTTTTTTTATAACAAAAACATAAAATGGAAATTATATATTTATACAAGCTATACACTACAGTTACACAATTCATTTATTTGCAACAGCTAAAACTAATCTAATTAATGCTAGTAATGGGATTAAAAGTATGTTGCTCAGGTATGTATCCTGACGAATAAGCCTTCTGCTTACCATTCCTAGGGTGCTATACGAGAGCCTTTCTCATTCAATTCTGAATACCCCTACTTAGTTCAGAATACCAGGATTGAACGAGCGACACTTCAGCATTACAGTATGTAGACTTCTGAGCAACAATATATATATAAAATAAATTTGGGGAAAAATTTTCATACTGTTCAATCATTTTAACTTAAGCTATACTATATACAAGCACTCTATTTACTATACAACATAATCTAACTCGTCTTGTGATTAGCAGCTTATGCTCTGTCATGATAAGGTTTCAGTCGACTAATGTTAATTACGTCTTTAGTCCATTGTCCACCCTTTAGCAACGCCACTTCATAACACAGGTCAGAAACGTTTCGCGTTACTTCAAATGGACCTTTGAAGGATGAGGCCAGTTTACGCGTTCCTTGCTTAGCTGTAAAAGGTGCTGAAATCAGAACCTTATCGCCCGGTTTAAACTCGCGGCTGTGATGAGTCTTACCATTATGGTGATAATGCTGATGGCAAAATGGTGTTTGCAATTTTTCCACTACACCTGCAGTTCTTAGAGCGTCAATCTGCCTGTTTGACTCATCACGTTCTTGAGGTCCCAATTTGAATGGTGGCAAAGATATAGGTTCGTGTGTTTCAAGTTTAATTTTATAAGGAGGCACTTTTGCGGTCCCTAAATCAGTATAATCTTGTACAAAAACATCCCTATAACCATACAAAAGATCTTTAGCCGTCTCCCATTTAGCCTGAGGCAGCTTGGGGTTGATATCTATTTTGTTTTCAGCTTGGTCCAAGACCTCCCTTAAACTAGCGTTTGTTTCCCCTGCTGAATTTAGGGGGGAGATCCCGTTTGACAAGTCCTGTATACTACATGGAGGTTTTGTTTTTAAAGACATTGTCCTAACTTTTAATTCATCCGAAGTTAAAGTCTTTCCACTAGTACTTGATGTTGCATCTTGTTGAGATATACGAGTTTTACCTACTTTGTTAACCTGCATGGGTATTTCTGTTTTGTCCCCAGCACGTGATAAAGTTATGGTACCGTCTTGGTAATTTAGTATCACCCCATAATGTTTAAGAAAATCATTTCCCAAGATCATTGAACAATTCAGGTTTTTAATTACATACACTTCTTGAGTGAATTCTATTAAGGCTATGTGAAATGTTAGAGTAGTTTTCCCGAGGACAGTTAAAGGAGTTCTACTCGCTGAAGATAGATGTACATCCGTTTTTTCCCATTGCTTATCTCTTAAAAGTTCGCTGTTGACACACGATACATTAGCACCTGAATCGAGCAATATGTTAATTTCCTTAGATTCCACGATTCCTTTTGTG